AAAATGTCGATGTTTTGTTCGCCGAGCCACTTAGTTATCACTTTTGCCTTATGGCAAGGTGCTCCATCATGCTGGAAAAGGCATTGTTCGTCACCAAACTGTTCTTGGTTGGTTGAGAGAGGTTGCTCTCGGAGGATGTGTTGGTACCATTCTTTATTCATGGCTGTGTTCTTAGGCAAAATTGTGAGTGAGCCCACTCCGTTGGCTGAGAAGCAACCCCACACATGAATGGTCTCAGGATGCTTTACTGTTGGCATGACACAGGACTGATGGTAGCGCTCACCTTGTCTTCTCCGGACAAGCTTTTTTCCCCAAACAATCAGAAAGGGGATTCATCAGAGAAAATAACTTTACCCCAGTCCTCAGCAGTCCAATCCCTGTACCTTTTGCACAATATCAGTCTGTCCCTGATGTTTTTCCTGGAGAGAAGTGGCTTCCTTGCTGCCCTTCTTGACACCAGGCCATCCTCCAAAAGTCTTTGCCTCACTGTGCATGCAGATGTACTCACACCTGCCTGCTGCCATTCCTGAGCAAGCTCTGCGCTGGTGGTGCCCCGATCCCGCAGCTGAATCAACTTTAGGAGATGGTCCTGGCGCTTGCTGCACTTTCTTGGGCGCCCTGAAGCCTTTTTCACAACAATTGAACCTCTCTCCTTGAAGTTCTTGATGATCCAATAAATGGTTGATTTAGGTGCAATCTTACTAGCAGCAATATCCTTGCCTGTGAAGCCCTTTTTGTGCAAAGCAATGATGACGGCACGTGTTTCCTTGCAGGTAACCATGGTTAACAGAGAAAGAACAATGATTTCAAGCATCACCCTCCTTTTAAAGCTTCCAGTCTGTTATTCTAACTCAATCAGCATGACAGAGTGATCTCCAGCCTTGTCCTCGTCAACACTCTCACCTGTGTTAACGACAGAATCACTGACATGATGTCAGCTGGTCCTTTTGTGGCAGGGTTGAAATGCAGTGGAAATGTTTTTTGGGGATATAGTTCATTTTCATGGCAAAGGGACTTTGCAATTAATTGCAATTCATCTGATCACTCTTCATAACATTCTGGAGTATATGCAAATTACCATCATAACAACAGAGGCAGCAGACTTTGTGAAAATTAATATTTGTGTAATTCTCAAAACTTTTGACCACGACTGTATAGTAAATACACCAGTAATGTTCGCAAAAACACTACACTGCTTTTAACTATAGTAAATACTATACTATTTAATTTGCATATACCTTGCCCATTCCCCTCCCCATATCACATTTTGTGCCACCCATAAGTGAGAAACCTACAGTGAGGGAAAAAAGTATTTGATCCCCTGCTGATTTTGTACGTTTGCCCACTGACAAAGACATGATCAGTCTATAATTTTTATGGTAGGTTTATTTGAACAGTGAGAGACAGAATAGCAACAAAAAAATCCAGAAAAACGCATGTCAAAAATGTTATAAATTGATTTGCATTTTAATGAGGGAAATAAGTATTTGACCCCTCTGCAAAACATGACTTAGTACTTGGTGGCAAAACCCTTGTTGGCAATCACAGAGGTCAGACGTTTCTTGTAGTTGGCCACCAGGTTTGCACACATCTCACACTCCTCTTTGCAGATCTTCTCCAAGTCATTAAGGTTTCGAGACTGACGTTTGGCAACTCGAACCTTCAGCTCCCTCCACAGCTCACTCCAGGACCTTAATGTGCCTCTTCTTGAGCCACTCCTTTGTTGCCTTGGCCGTGTGTTTTGGGTCATTGTCATGCTGGAATATCCATCCACGACCCATTTTCAATGCCCTGGCTGAGGGAAGGAGGTTCTCACCCAAGATTTGACGGTACATGGCCCCGTCCATCGTCCCTTTGATGCGGTGAAGTTGTCCTGTCCCCTTAGCAGAAAAACACCTCCAAAGCATAATGTTTCCACCTCCATGTTTGACGGTGGGGATGGTGTTCTTGGGGTCATAGGCAACATTCCTCCTCCTCCAAACATGGCGAGTTGAGTTGATGCCAAAGAGCTCGATTTTGGTCTCATCTGACCACAACACTTTCACCCAGTTCTCCTCTGAATCATTTAGATGTTCATTGGCAAACTTCAGACGGCCCTGTATATGTGCTTTCTTGAGCAGGGGGACCTTGTGGGCGCTGCAGGATTTCAGTCCTTCACCGCATAGTGTGTTACCAATTGTTTACTTGGTGACTATGGTCCCAGCTGCCTTGAGATCATTGACAATATCCTCCTGTGTAGTTCTGGGCTGATTCCTCACCATTCTCATGATCATTGCAACTCCATGAGGTGAGATCTTGCATGGAGCCCCAGGCCGAGGGAGATTGACAGTTATTTTGTGTTTCTTCCATTTGCGAATAATCGCACCAACTGTTGTCACCTTCTCACCAAGCTGCTTGGCGATCTTGTCCCTGACATCCTTGGAGAACTCTTTGGTCTTGGCCATGGTGGAGAGTTTGGAATCTGATTGATTGCTTCTGTGAATAGGTTTCTTTTATACAGGTAACAAGCTGAGATTAGGAGCACTCCCTTTAAGAGTGTGCGCCTAATCTCAGCTCGTTACCTGTATAAAAGACACCTGGGAGCCAGAAATCTTTCTGATTGAGAGGGGGTCAAATACTTATTTCTCTCATTAAAATGCAAATCAATTTATAACATTTTTGACATGCGTTTTTCTGGATTTTTTTGTTGTTATTCTGTCTCTCACTGTTCATATAAACCTACCATTAAAATTATAGACTGATCATTTCTTTGTCAGTGGGCAAACGTACAAAATCAGCAGGGGATCAAATACTTTTTTCCCTCACTGTACATGTCAAGTACAGACCATATATTGTGTTCTGTACAGTTTATAGAGAAGAGCAGAAGCTCTGTACTATTCGTTCAAACCCCAGTCCTACCTACCTACAGGTTATGGAACATTAGTTTTTTTGTATTTCTCCAGTAGGTTTCCTGAAGGAAAAAGCCTCCACTTCTATGTCAAAGATAATAAAACTAAAACACTATAGTAAATACTACAGTATCCTACAGTCAGCAAAAACATAATTACTACAGTATATACTACTGTTTTCTTTTACTACAGCATTTATACTATAGTTAACTGTAAATACTAAAGTATACTACAGCAAAAACTACAGTGAATACTACAGTTAAGTCTGCAAAAACACTGCAATGAGTACTATAGTATTTATACCATAGTATACTATAGTATTTTTTCATGTGGGTTAGGTCAAGTACTCCAGAGTTAGTTTGAGTACAGTGCCATTATATTAGCAGTTTAAATGTGTCTCCTCCTCCTCACTGCGCTGAGCTGAACTGAGCTGCAGCGCGTGACAAAACAACCGTACTAGGATCAGTCAATAGTCTCTACAGGGAGCCAAGTGACTCAGTGCCAAAGAAACTGAAGGAGCGTCTCTCTCTCTTTGTCTCTTGCTCTCTAACTCTTCTGCCTCTCTATTTCTTTCTCCTCACAGTATCTCTCACACTCTCTGTCGCTCTCTCTCGCCTCTCAATTCAAATTCAATAAAAAAAAATGTTTTGTCATTTAGCAGACACTCTTATCCAGAGCGACTTACAGTTAGTGAGTGCATACATTAAAAATATATATATATCATACTGGCCCCCCGTGGGAATCGAACCCACAACCCTGGCATTGCAAACACCATGCTCTACCAACTGAGCTACATCCCTGCCGGCCATTCCCTCCCATACCCTGGACGATGCTGGGCCAATTGTGCACCACCCCATGGGTCTCCCGGTCACAGCCAGCTATGACAGAGCCTGGATTCGAACCAGGATCTCTAGTGGCACAGCTAGCACTGCAATGCCACTCATTTCAAATGGCATATTATGTATATATACAGTGTTGTAACAATGGCAAATAGTTAAAGTACAAATGGGAAAATAAATAAACATAAATATGGGTTGTATTTACAATGGTGTTTGTTCTTCACTGGTTGCCCTTTTCTTGTGGCAACAGGTTACAAATATTGCTGCTGTGATGGCACACTGTGGTTTTTCACCCAGTAGATAAGGGAGTTTATCAAATTTGGGTTTGTTTTAGAATTCTTTGTGGATCTCTGTAATCTGAGGGAAATATGTGTCTCTAATATGGTCATACATTTGGCAGGAGGTTAGGAAGTGCAGCTCAGTTTCCACCTCATTTTGTGGGCAGTGTGCACATAGCCTGTCTTCTCTTGAGAGCCAGGTCTGCCTACGGCGGCCTTTCTCAATAGCAAGGCTATGCTCACTGAGTCTGTACATAGTCAAAGTTTTCCTTAAGTTTGGGTCAGTCACAGTGGTCAGGTATTCTGCCACTGTGTACTCTCTGTTTAGGGCCAAATAGCATTCTAGTTTGCTCTGTTTTTTTGTTATTTCTTTCCAATGTGTCAAGTAATTCTCTTTTTGTTTTCTCATGATTTGGTTGGGTCTAATTGTGCTGTTGTTGTTGTCCTGGTCTGTTTGTGTTTGTGAACAGAGCCCTAGGACCAGCTTACTTAGGGGACTCTTCTCCAAGTTCATCTCTCTGTAGGTGATGGCTTTGTTATGGAAGGTTTGGGAATCGCTTCCTTTTAAGTGGTTATAGAATTTAACAGCTCTTTTCTGGATTTTGATAATTAGCGGGTATCGGCATAGTTCTGCTCTGCATGGATTATTTGGTGTTTTTCGTTGTACACAGAGGATATTTTTGCAGAATTCTGCATGCAGAATCTCAATTTGGTGTTTGTCCCATTTTGTGAATTCTTGGTTGGTGAGCAGACCCCAGACCTCACAACCATAAAGTGCAATGGGTTCTATAACTGATTCAAATATTTTTTGCCAGATCCTAATTGGTATGTCAAATTTTATGTTCCTTTTGATGGCATAGAAGGCCCTTCTTGCCTTGTCTCTCAGATCGTTCACAGCTTTGTGGAAGTTACCTGTGGCGCTGATGTTTAGACCGAGGTATGTGTCGTTTTTTGTGTGCTCTAGGGCAACGATGTCTAGATGGAATTTGTATTTGTGGTCCTGGCAACTGGACCTTTTTTAGAACACCATTATTTTTGTCTTACTGAGATTTACTGTCAGGGACCAGGTCTGACAGAATCTGTGCAGAAGATCTAGGTGCTGCTGTAGGCCCTCCTTGGTTGGTGACCAGATCATCAGCAAACACTAGACATTTGACTTCAGATTCTAGTAGGGTGAGGCCGGGTGCTGCAGACTGTTCCAGTGCCCTCGCCAATTCGTTGATATATATGTTGAAGAGTGTGGGGCTCAAACTGCATCCCTGTCTCACCCCATGGCCCTGTGGAAAGAAATGTGTGTGTTTTTTGCCAATTTTAACCGCACACTTGTTGTTTGTGAATATGGATTTTATAATGTCGTATGTTTTTCCCCCAACCCCACTTTCCATCAATTTGTATAGCAGACCCTCATGCCAAATTGAGAAAATCTTTTTTGAAATCAACAAAGCATGAGAAGACTTTGCCTTTGTTTTGTTTTGTTTGTTTGTCAATTAGGGTGTGCAGGGTACTAGCCACTTAAAATAACTTATTTTCTCATTCTTTTAATATTTACTTTACTTTAACCTTTATTTTATCAGGGGGTCATACTGAGACCAAGGTCACTTCTACAGATGAGCACTGAATTACATAAATTACATAAAATACACAAATAGAAATAGAAAATGCAAAATTACATTAATCAGTAATAAAGTCCTCAATCAGCTTTCTGAATTGCCCTAGAGGCACCAAAACATCATATTTAAGAACATTTTGAAGATTGTTCCACAAATCTGGATATGATTTGAGAGCACTAGTTAGCTCCAAAAGTGGTTAGTAGCTTTGACTGCATGCTGACAGTAAATTCAGAGCCATTCAGTGGCTAGCTACACCACAAACATAATTTTACCAGGTTCCCGTGAAGCAATTGTAATGACAGTCCACCACAACATACCCAAGAGTTGACTGATTAGCAAGGGCTAGTCTGTGTTTCATTTCATTGTGTATTACAAACACAGTTTGAGATCATTGTGAGGGGATTTCGAATGTGGTTGAATGGAGAATTGGGCTTCCAGGGAAAACGTTGTCCGAGGTTGGAACAGTAACCAAGGGGGGCGGGGCTTAGCAAAGGGTCAATTATTTTTCCCCCTTTTTTTGCTGTAGCAGCTGCCCCCCACCCACGCTGTAAACTAATTGTAAATGCTGTTATCAACACCAACAAAGCATCTAATAATCACAGATCCTCTGATCTCCACTACTCCTCTCTAAAAGAACTACAGTGTGAAAAGGGCCCCTGTCCTCCACTAGATGACCAGATGTGTTTGGCTCAGTGGTATTTATGATGACAAGTGCATGTTAGATCACATGTGCGAGTGAAGTCCCCAACGAGACTGAGAGAGATGACACAGAGGACTTATAGGGACAATATTGTGTGCATGTAGTTGAGTCAATGGCCTATTTGATAAAACCCATTCTGAGTCAGAGTCACTAATCAGCCTCTCTGTCAGGACATTATTAGATATCCAGACTATTACAGAGTGAATTTAACACATTGGTGTTTATTCAAGCAATTTGATAAAGTAGTTAAACATCCCCTTTATATTTGGCAATATTTGGCACAGTTTTATGTTTTTGAGCAAAGTAATATAGAACATACTGTACACAAGATTTATCAATTTATCAAAGTTGGAACACTTGAGTGTATTTGCAAAGGAGGCGCTGTTCTCGTGCAAGCATAGTATACAATTGCACCATTCACTGAAATGAGTTGTGATTGTGTAAGAAAGAGTTATAGGTTTTGTCCAGGCTGTCAGTTCTGGTTGTTGTATCAGTCTGGTGATTTGGAGCAGGTGAGGGGAGGGGATTCTTTGGTGTCTTTAATGTTTCCGAGCAGGGTGCCAGGAGAGTTCAGGACTGTGACACTCATTAGTCATGATCTGTACTTACCTGAAGAACTGGAAGAGTGACATGTCAATACTGTGACACTAAGGCAGTACACACAATAGAGGACACACACAAACTTTATCTGTCTCTCTCACAGAAACACACACACACACAAACACACAACACACACACACTGCTGCAGGGGGAGTGAGGCAGAGGCATGACATGGGACAGAACACACACACTCACATGGCCATGCCAAACTGCTCCAGCCATTTCTTCTTCAGCTCCTTGGTTTTGAAGAAGAACTCGAAGCCACTCTGCCCCTGGTTGTGTGTCAGGTAGAATCCATAGGACCACTACAACAGGAGACAAAAAGGGTGATGAGAGAGTGAAACAGAGAGAAACAGAGAGAGCTAGATGAGGGGGTCATTGTAAGGTAGAATGGGGGAGTCAACATAGAAAGAGAGAGTGGTGTATGCAGGGGGAGAGAGAGGACAACAACAACAACAACACAATTAGACCCAACCAAATCATGAGAAAACAAAAAGAGAATTACTTGACACATTGGAAAGAAATAACAAAAAAACAGAGCAAACTAGAATGCTATTTGGCCCTAAACAGAGAGTACACAGTGGCAGAATACCTGACCACTGTGACTGACCCAAACTTAAGGAAAACTTTGACTATGTACAGACTCAGTGAGCATAGCCTTGCTATTGAGAAAGGCCGCCGTAGGCAGACCTGGCTCTCAAGAGAAGACAGGCTATGTGCACACTGCCCACAAAATGAGGTGGAAACTGAGCTGCACTTCCTAACCTCCTGCCAAATGTATGACCATATTAGAGACACATATTTCCCTCAGATTACAGCGATCCACAAAGAATTCGAAAACAAACCCAATTTTGATAAACTCCCTTATCTACTGGGTGAAAAACCACAGTGTGCCATCACAGCTGCAAGATTTGTGACCTGTTGCCACAAGAAAAGGGCAACCAGTGAAGAACAAACACCATTGTAAATACAACCCATATTTATGTTTATTTATTTTCCCACTTGTACTTTAACTATTTGCACATTGTTACAACACTGTATATATACATAATATGACATTTGAAATGTCTTTATTCTTTTGAAACTTCTGAGTGTAATGTTTACTGTTAATATTTATTGTTTATTTCACTTTTGTTTACTATCCACTTCCCTTGCTTTGGCAATGTTAACACACGTTTCCCATGCCAATAAAGCCCTTAAATTGAAATTGAAATTGAATTGAGAGAGAGAGAGAGAGGAGAGATAGAGAGGAGAAAGAGAGAGAGAGGAGTTCTGAAAGAGCTGATAGAGCGGTCTCTCGAGATCTTCTTCTCGCGCGTATGCCGCTGCTCTGCGCTATCTCTCTCGCGTCTCTAGCTCTCCTCGAGACCTTGAGTGCGAGCAAGAGAGAAAGAGAGAGAGAGAGTTCCTGTGACCCAGTGTCCATGCAGCCCCAGACACTGCAGAACTTAATCACTAAAGATTAGCCACTTCAAAGACTAGCCATTACTCAAGGGTCCCTGATAACAACCTGCTACAACCACCTCTCCTTGTTATTACACAGAGACAAGACTGTCTTGAAAAAGGTACTCTGACCCAAATGTCAGCACAATAAACAAGTGTAGATTCGGAGGTAATATTGTGTGTTCTGCTGGAGTTATCTTTCCTACAATGAGGGCTCTGTAGCCTGCATGTACCGTACTGCTCAGTGCTCAGGGCAGCTGTGCTTATTAAAACAATGAGAACAGCCATTAAAGGGGCAATCTGGGATTCAAACAACTACAAATGGATGTATAAATTCCAGATTGACCCTTTAAAGCAGGTAGCTTAGTGGTTAAGAGCGTAGTGCCAGTAACCGAAAGGTCGCTGGTTCTAATCCCCGAGCCGACTAGGTGAAAAATCTGTCGATGTGCCCTTGAGCAAGGCACTTAACCCTAATTGCTCCTGTAAGTTGCTCTGGATAAGAGCGTCTGCTAAATGACTAAAATGTAAAATGTAAATGTCTTCAGGTTGCAGTGGTTGGGGTAAGCCACCAGCCAATCAGATAAGAGAAAGAGAGCCTCTTGGCCAATCATAGAGGGTGTGTAGGGGGTGGGGTTTGTGGGTTTGAAAACAGGTACACTATAGACCAGCTTATCTGCTTTCGTAGGTCTCTAGCCCTATGGGACAGACAAGGGGTTGTCTTTCAAGTAATAGGAAAGATGCGTGCTGCTGAGACTTTGGCTTGATTATTGTTTTATTTCTTAACAAATGAAAGCTATTTTAAGCTAAATTATTATTATCCCCTGGGAAGCCATTGTGCAATGTATCATGTATCATCCACAACAGTGGATATTATACTTTGCTGGGTGCTTGTTGCTGTGTGTGTGTATGTGTGTGTGTATGTGTGTGTGTGTGTGTGTGTGTGTGTGTGTGTGTGTGTGTGTGGTGTGTGTGTTGTGGTGTGGTGTGTGGGTGTGTTGTGTGGGTGTGTGTGTGGGTGTGTGTGTGTGTGTGGGTGTGTGTGTGTGTGTGTGTGTGGTGTGTGTGTGTGTGTGTGTGTGTGTGTGTGTGTGTGTGGAGCGTGTGTGTGTGTGTGTGTGTGTGTGTGTGTGTGTGTGTGTGTGTGTGGAGCGTGTGTGTACCATCAGGTACAAGGCGATGTTTAATAAACACACCATCTGGGGAAAAGGCAAGCTGTTCTATCCCTCAAACCAACACAATATCTGATTAAGCTCATCAATGAATGTGGTAATCTCAATATGTGTCTGATTCGCTTTTACTGACAGATTTCCTAAAACTTACATTCATAAATACAAGTTTAGCATGTCCTCTCCTGTACAGTACTGTCTGAGCCTGCAGCAAATTAAGAAATCCCTCAACAGTCAACAATAATTAAAGTGTGAATAATTGAAGAATGATAAAACTATGATTGTTTTCTGTGCACTCTTTCATACACACACACACACGAGCGCATGAACACACACACACACACACGCGCACGCACACACACCTTTCTGTTCTCCTTGTCTGACGTGGGGTTGTTGGTGATCTTGAAGTGGTGCAGGTCGATCACTTCCTTCATCTCATAGTTGTCTCCTCTCCTCTTACAGACGATCACAGCAGCATCGAACAGGAAGATATGCCTGTGGTGTCAGAGAAAAGACACAGAGGGAGAGATAGAAAGAAGATAAGGGAATGAGAGGACTGCACACAGAATATTGCTGTTCACCAGTGCTTTATTCCTGCCCCCAAATACACAAATGTTTCCACTTCACAGAAGTCTTTGTCAGGTAAGATAAAAAGAAGACCATTTGGTTAGCATGAATACCCTCTTCAGAATGTATTATAAGTGCATTTCTAATGCCTGATTGCGTTATGCAGAATACACTACAATAGCTGTATATAACACCTATTTCTACATGCCATAAGCATTGGTTAAGCAGAGACGCAAGCTAAAAAGCTTGATCTATCTTGCCATTTGACAAACCACACACATCACTCACCAGAAAAGCCATACTGCACCACACAGAACACAAACATGCACTCACACAGAAACACACAGACATGCATTTCACACAGAACCACCATGCCTCACACAAACACACACACATGCACTCACACAGAAACACACACACATGCACTCACACAGAAACACACACACATGCACTCACACAGAAACACACACACATGCACTCACACAGAAACACACACACATGCACTCACACAGAAACACACACACACATGCACTCACACAGAAACACACACACACCAGACAGACAGACATCTCACCGGTCCTGTTTGGCACGTTTGTCGATTGAGGCAACGCGTACCTCTCCGTCTCCTTTTGGTCTCCCATAGATACTAAGAGACTGATTCTGAAAGGGGGGGGGGGGTGGGAGAGAGATAGAGAGATGGGGGTGAAGAAAGAAAGAGGTCACACTTAAAACCCAGCTCACTTCACAATTATTTTTTAATCAAGATTAGGTACTTACAAGGTTTTCGATGGATTTCTGATACTGGGCTATGTCTCTCAGAGTCTCGTTGTCTCTCTTCACTTCATTGACGTACTGAGCCAGGTCCTACAGTACCCAACACAACACAGAGAACACAAAACAACAAACATTAAGACTTGACATTCAAGATGGGTGCATTTTGGCATTCACTATATGAGACAGGCTCACAACAAATGACTGCTTTCCAATGCTATTCCATACAGTAGCCTAACTAATAGTCTTTCTAACTCCTGTTTCTTCATTAGTTCTGTATTAGTGTGGAGCAAAAGTATCTACAACTTCATGATTAAAATCGTACCTCCCGCAATGTCCACATATTCTAGAGGACTCTCTCTCTTTCTCTCTCTCTCTCTCTCTCTCTCTCTCTCTCTCTCTCTCTCTCTCTCTCTCTCCTCTCTCTCTCTCTCTCTCTCTCTCTCTCTCTCTTTTTGAGCAGCATGATTAATTGTTTATGCAAGAGTACATTGTGTAAATCTTCCTCTCAACACAGAGTGAGCCTGGTTCAAGTAGCACTGTTTAAAATCCCATCTATCATAGGGTCTGAGATAATCAGCGCTGAAAACCACTTTGTTGCTGTCGCACCACACGACGCAATGCAGAGAAACACTCCAGGAACATTAACCACATTAGCTTGATTCCCCCAATCAATGTCAAGTGGATCATTTAGCCAATTGAAATCATTGCAGATGCCCTCAGAGTAAATGTTCACTTTCATACACGACGTGACTCGCTTCTAGTACTTTCCTGGTACGTGTCAAACTGTATTCACCTACCCACATCATCAACACCCTGTATGTCAAGACTAAAGAGAGACGACTGATTTTTTAAGTGCAGATTTCAGAAGAAAACAATGTCAAGCTGAATAAAAAAAACTAATGATGCGCTAGAAATCTTTCTCAAAGAGAGATGGGGAGCCAAACATTGTGTAACCTCTGTCAAACTCTTACACAAAGAGAACAACTTAATAGTATTCACATTGTACCTAATCTTGTCAGAGATATTTCATTGAGATACATGTATTGCAGTGGAGGCTGCTGAGGGGAGAACGGCTCATAATAATGTCCGTAACGGAGCAAATGGAATGGCATCAAACACCTGGAAACCATGTGTTTGATGTATTTGATACCATTCCACTGATACTGCTCTAGTCATTACCACGAGCCCGTTCTCCCCAATTAAGGTGCCACCAACCTTCTGTGATGTGTTGGTGGCAGCTGTGATGTGTTTTTATCAGTGTGTAGGCCTAGGGTATGTATGCTGTAGGCCTGAAGTGGTGCTGAAATAGCAAGCAGGTTGATAGAGGCATCGTTATGAGCAATAATCTTGTCTCAAGGCAGATCTCAGTAGGAGCCATTATGTGGACCTTCAAAAAGTATTCACAACCCTTGACTTTTTTCACATTTTGTTGTGTTACGGCCTGAATTTAAAATGGATTAAATTGAGATTGTGTCACTGGCCTACACACAATACCACATAATGTCAAAGTGGAATTATGTTTTTAGAAATTTTTACAAATTAATTAAAAATGAAAAGCTGAACTGTCTTGAGTTATGGCAAGCCTAAATAAGTTCAGGAGTAAATATTTGCTTAAAACCTCTTAAGGATCGGACACTTTTTTTCAATTTTCACCTAAAATGACATACCCAACTCTAACTGCCTGTAGCTCAGGACCTGAAGCAAGGATATGCATTTTCTTGATACCATTTGAAAGGAAACACTTTGAAGTTTGTGGAAATGTGAAACTAATGTAGGAGAATATAACACATTAGATCTGGTAAAACATAATACAAACAAAAAAACATGCGTTTTCTATTGATTTTTTTGTTCCATCATCTTTGAAATGCAAGACAAAGGCCAAAATATAATATTGCAGTTTAGGCGCAATTTGATAGCATTGTGTGTGCAAAGTTTCAGATTGATCCAGTGAAGCATTGCAATACTAGACTATTTTGTATGAAGTCTGCCCAAATGTGCCAAATTGGTCAATTGATACATTTTCAAGTACATAACTATAGAGAACATACAAAAATGATATGGTAAACCAAAATGTAGGTTTACACACTCCCAGGAATGTCATACATGATCATTAGCTTACACACTAACTTTCACACATCTAGATGGCCGGGCGTGGTGGGTGTGGAGCCAGAGACAGCAGGGGTTCAAACTGTAGAAGCAAGTTCCTACATTTGAATATTAAAATTGATTTTATCAAACAAAACTCTATGCTACATTTTATCTCTGGGACCCTTAGGATGACAAATCAGAGCAAGATTACTGGACGTAAGTACGTTATTTACCTTCAGAGGTGAATGTATCAGACCAGTTGCCGTGTTACGTTTTTTGTTGTTGTGCACTCTCCTCAAACAATAGCATGGTATTTTTTCACTGTAATAGCTACTGTAAATTGGACAGTGCAGTTCGATTAACAATAATTTAAGCTTTCTGCCCATATAAGACATGTCTATGTCCTGGAAGGTTTGCTGTTACTTACAACAGTCATGCTAATCACATTAGCGCACGTTAGCTCAACCGTCCCGTATACGGGACACCGATCCCTTAAAACAGGATTGCCCAACTCTGTTCCTGTAGAGCTACCCTCCTGTAGGTTTTCGCTCCAACCCCAGGTGTTACTAACCTTATTCATCTTATCAATCTGCTAATTATTAGAATCAGGTGTGCTAGATTAGGGTTGGAGCAAAAACCTACAGGACGGTAGCTCTCCAGGAACAGGGTTGGGCAGTCCTGCCGTAGAGGTTAACAAGTCACATAATAAGTTGCATGGACACACTATGTGTGCAATAAAAGTGTTTAAAAAAATGTTTTAATGACTACCTCATCTCGGTACCCCACACATACAATTGTCTGTAAGTTCCCTTAGTGAAGCAGTGAATTTCAAACACAGATTCAACCACAAACACCAGGGAGGTTTTCCAATGCCTCGCAAAGAAGTTCACCTATTGGTAGATGGATAAAAATAAAAAAGCATACATTGAATATTTACATTTTAGTCATTTAGCAGATGGTCTTATGCAGAGCGACTTACAGTAGTGAGTGCATACATTTTCATACTTTTTTGTACTGGTCCCGCGTGGGAATCAATCCCACAACCCTGGCGTTGCAAGCGCCATTATATACCAACTGAGCCACACGAGACCCTTTGAGCATGGTGAAGCTATTAATAACATATCAATACACCCAGTCACTACAAAGATATAGGCGTCCTTCCTAACACAGTTCCTGGAGAGGAAGGAAACCGCTCAGGGATTTCACCATTTACACTGGTGACTATAAAACAGTTACAGAGTTCAATGGTTGTGATAGGAGAAAACTGAGGATGGATCAACAACATTGTAGTTACTCCACAATAGTAACCTAAATGACAGAGTGAAAACAAGGAAGCCTGTACAGAATAAAGAATATTCCAAAACATGGATCCTGTTTGCAATAAGGCACTAAAGTAAAATTGCTAAAGAATATGGCAAAGAAATACACTTTATGTCCTGAATACAAAGAGTTATGTTTGGGGCAAATCCAACACAGCACATCATCATATTTTCAAGCATGGTGGTGGCTGAATCATGTTCTGGGTATGCTTGTCATCGTCAAGGACTAGGGAGTGTTTTTAGGAGAAAAAGAAACGGAATAGAGCTAAGCACAGGCAAAATGCTAGAGGAAAACTTGATTCAGTCTGCTTTCCAACAGACACTCTGAGACAAATTCATCTTTCAGCAGGACAATAACCTAAAACACAAGGCTAAATATACACTGGAGTTGCTTACCAAGACGACATCGAATGTTCCTGAGTGGCCTAGTTACAGTTTTGACTTAAATTGGCTTGAAAATCTAGGTCAAGACTTCAAAATGGCTGTCTAACAATGATCAACAACCAACTTGACAGAGCTTGAAGAATCTTTTAAAGAATAATGTGCAAATATTGTCCAATCCAGGTGTGCAAAGCTCTTAGAGACTTACCCAGAAAGACTCACAGCTGTAATCCCTGCCAAAGATGATTCTAACATGTATTGACTCAGGGTTATGAATACTTATGTAAATGATATATTTTTGTATTTAATTTGCAATAAATTTGCAAAAATGTCTACAAACATATTTTCACTTTGTCATTATGGGGTATAGTGTGTAGATGGGTGAGGAAAAATGTTTTAAAATCCATTTTGAATTCAGGCTGTAACACAACAAAATGTGGAATAAGTCAAGGGATATGAATACTGAAGGCACTGTATACTGTGTTAGGCTGTGAGGCTATATACTGTCATAGGCTGTGAGGTTATATACTGTCATAGGCTGTGAGGTTATATACTGTCATAGGCTGTGAGGTTATATACTGTCATATGCTGTGAGGTTATATACTGTCATATGCTGTGAGGTTATATACTGTCATATGCTGTGAGGTTATATACTGTCATATGCTGTGAGGTTATATACTGTCATATGCTGTGAGGTTATATACTGTCATATGCTATGAGGTTATATGTAGTCATATGGTGTGAGATGATATACTGTCATATGCTGTGACGTTGTATACTGCAATATGCTGTGAGGTCATATACTGTCATAGGCTGTGAGGTTATATACTGTCATATGCTGTGAGGTTATATACTGTCATATGCTGTGAGGTTATATACTGTCATATGCTGTGAGGTTATATACTGTCATATGCTGTGAGGTTATATACTGTCATATGCTGTGAGGTTATATACTGTCATATGCTGTTTGGTTATATACTGTCATATGGTGTGAAGTTATATACTGTCATATGCTGTGAAGTTATATACTGTCATATGACGTGATGTTATGTACTGTCATATACTGTGAGGTTATTATCTGTCATATGCTTTGAGGTTATATACTGTCATATGCTGTGAGGTTGTACACTCTCATATACTGCCATATGCTGTGAGGTTATATACTGTCATAACCTGTGAAGTTACTGTATATACTGTCATATGTTGTGAGGTTATATACTGCCATATACTGCCATAAGCTGTGAGGTTCACACTGTCATATACTGTGAGGTTATATAATGTCATATGCTGTGAAGTTATATACTGTCATATGCTGTGATGTTTTACTGTCATATGCTGTGAGGTTATTTACTGTCAGTGAAATAGTTAGGGAGCTAAATATGTCAGGAGACAGCAGATAAATATGTACAACTAAATTAATACAGTAAAAATACATAACAACATATATACAGTAATAAATATATAACTAAATATATACAGTAATTAATACATCAAATCAAATCAAATAAATTTTTATTTACCACATGCGGCGAATACAACAGGTGTAGACATTACCGTGAAATGCTTACTTACAGCCCTTAACCAACAATGCATTTATTTTTTAAATAAAAATGTAAAATAAAACAACAACAACAACAAAAAAATGTTGAGAAAAAAAGAGCTTGAAGAATCTTTTAAAGAATAATGTGCAAATATTGTACAATCCAGGTGTGCAAAGCTCTTAGAGACTTACCCAGAAAGACTCACAGCTGTAATCCCTGCCAAAGATGATTCTAACATGTATTGACTCAGGGTTATGAATACTTATGTAAATGATATATTTTTGTATTTAATTTGCAATAAATTTGCAAAAATGTCTACAAACATATTTTCACTTTGTCATTATGGGGTATAGTGTGTAGATGGGTGAGGAAAAATGTTTTAATAATAATAATATGCCATTTAGCAGACGCTTTTATCCAAAGCGACTTACAGTCATGTGTGCATACATTTTGTATTGTGTATGGGTGGTCCCGGGGATAGAACCCACTACCCTGGCGTTACAAGCGCCGTGCTCTACCAGCTGAGCTACAGAGGACCACATATCCATATACTGGTATAGAGGTCCTGGATGGCAGGAAGCTTGGCCCCAGTGATGTACTGGGCCGTACGCACGACCCTCTGTAGTGCCTTGCGGTCGGAAGCCGAGCAGTTGCCATATCAGGCGGTGATGCAACCAGTCAGGATGCTCTCGATGGTGCAGCTGTACAACTTTTTGAGGATCTGGGGACGCATGCAAAATCTTTTCAGTCTCCTGAGGGGGAATAGGCTTTGTCGTGCCCTCTTCACGACTGTCTTGGTGTGTTTGGACCATGATAGTTCGTTGGTGATGTGGACACCAAGGAACTTGAAGCTCTCAACCTGTTCCACTACAGCCCAGTCGATGAGAATGGGGGCGTGCTCAGTCCTCTTTTTTTCCTGTAGTCCACAACCATCTCCTTTGTCTTTGTCACGTTGAGGGAGAGGTTGTTATCCTGGCACCACATGGCCAGGTCTCTGACCTCCTCCCTATAGGCTGTCTCATCGTTGTCGGTGATCAGGCCTACCACTGTTGTGTCATCTGCAAACTTAATGATGGTGTTGGAGTCGTGCCTGGCCATGCAGTCATGGGTGAACAGGGAGTACAGGAGGGGACTGAGCACGCACCCCTGAGGGGCCTCCGTGTTGAGGATCAGCGTGGCAGATGTGTTGTTACCTACCCTTACCACCTGGGGGCGGCCCGTCAGGAAGTCCAAGATCCAGTTGCAGAGGGAGGTGTTTAGTCCCAGGATCCTTAGCTTAGTGATGAGCTTTGAAGCACTATGGTGTTGAACGCTGAGCTGTAGTCAATGAATAGCATTCTCACGTAGGTGTACCTTTGTCCAGGTGGGAAAGGGCAGTGTGGAGTGCAATAGAGATTGGTCTAGGGTTTCTGGGATAATGGTGTTGATGTGAGCCATGACCAGCCTTTTAAAGCACTTCATGGCAACAGACGTCAGTGCTATGGGTCGGTAGTCATTTAGGCAGGTTATTTTAGTGTCCTTGGGCACAGGGACTATGGTGGTCTTCTTGAAACATGTTGGTATTACAGACTCAGTCAGGGACATGTTGAAAATGTCGGTGAAGACACTTGCCAGTTGGTCAGCACATGCTCGGAGTACATGTCCTGGTAATCCGTCTGGCCCTGCGGCCTTGTGAATGTTGACCTGCTTAAAAGTTTTACTCACATCGGCTACATCGGCTACGGAGAGCGGAAACCCTACACAATCCATCAATCAATCAATCAATCAAATGTATTTATAAAGCCCTTTTTACATAGCATATGTCACAAAGTGCTTATACAGAAATCCAGCCTAAAACCCCAAAGAGCAAGCAATGCAGACGTAGAAGCACGCAGAGAGAACAGTTGAAACTGTAGCAGCAGCATGACAAGGTAGAACGTCTGGTAAACAATCCATGTCTCAATTGTCTCAAGGCTTAAAAATCCTTCTTTGATTTGTCTCCTCCCCTTCATCTACACTGATTTAAGTGGATTTAACAAGTGACATCAATAAGGGATCATAGCTTTCACCTGGATTCCCCTGGTCAGTCTACAGTGAGGGAAAAAAGTATTTGATCCCCTGCTGATTTTGTATGTTTGCCCACTGACAAAGAAATGATCAGTCTATCATTTTAATGGTAGGTTTATTTGAACAGTGAGAGACAGAATAACAACAAAATAATCCAGAAAAACGCATGTCAAAAATGTTATAAATTGATTTGCATTTTAATGAGGGAAATAAGTATTTGACCCCGTCTCAATCAGAAAGATTTCTGGCTCCCAGGTGTCTTTTATACAGGTAACGAGCTGAGATAGAATAGTCTAGGTCCAAAAGACTTCTCAACAGCTTCTACCCCCAAGCCATAAGACTCCTGAACAGCTAATCATGGCTACCCGGACTATTTGCACTGCCACCCCACCCCATCTTTTTACGCTGCTGCTACTCTGTTAATTATTTATGCATAGTCACTTTAACTCTACCCACATGTACATATTACTTCAACTACCTCAACTAGCTGGTGCCCCCGCACATTGACTCTGCACCGGTACCCCCCTGTATATATAGCCTCCCTACTGTTATTTTATTTTACTTCTGCTCTTTTTTTCTCAACACTTTTTTGTTGTTGTTTTATTTTACTTTTTTATTAAAAATAAATGCACTGTTGGTTAAGGGCTGTAAGTAAGCATTTCACTGTAATGTCTGCACCTGTTGTATTCGGCGCATGTGACCAATAACATTTGATTTGATTTGAGATTAGGAGCACACTCTTAAAGGGAGTGCTCCTAATCTCAGCTTGTTACCTGTATAAAAGACACCTGTCCACAGAAGCAATCAATCAATCAGATTCCAAACTCTCCACCATGGCCAAGACCAAGGAGCTCTCCAAGGATGTCAGGGACAAGATTGTAGACCTACACAAGGCTGGAATGGGCTACAAGACCATCGCCAAGCAGCTTGGTGAGAAGGTGACAACAGTTGGTGCGATTATTCGCAAATGGAAGAAACACAAAATAACTGTCAATCTCCCTCGGCCTGGGGCTCCATGCAAGATCTCACCTCGTGGAGTTGCAATGATCATGAGAACGGAATCAGCCCAGAACTACACGGGAGGATCTTGTCAATGATCTCAAGGCAGCTCGGACCATAGTCACAATTGGTAACACACTACGCCGTGAAGGACTGAAATCCTGCAGCGCCCGCAAGGTCCCCCTGCTCAAGAAAGCACATATACAGGGCCGTCTGAAGTTTGCCAATGAACATCTGAATGATTCAGAGGAGAACTGGGTGAAAGTGTTGTGGTCAGATGAGACCAAAATGGAGCTCTTTGGCATCAACTCAACTCGCCGTGTTTGGAGGAGGAGGAATGCTGCCTATGACCCAAAGAACACCATCCCCACCGTCAAACATGGAGGTGGAAACATTATGCTTTGGGGGTGTTTTTCTGCTAAGGGGACAGGACAACTTCACCGCATCAAAGGAACGATGGACGGGGCCATGTACCGTCAAATCTTGGGTGAGAACCTCCTTCCCTCAGCCAGGGCATTGAAAATGGGTCGTGGATGGATATTCCAGCATGACAATGACCCAAAACACACGGCCAAGGCAACAAAGGAGTGGCTCAAGAAGAAGCACATTAAGGTCCTGGAGTGGCCTAGCCAGTCTCCAGACCTTAATCCCATAGAAAATCTGTGGAGAGAGCTGAAGGTTCGAGTTGCCAAACGTCAGCCTCGAAACCTTAATGACTTGGAGAAGAGTGGGACAAAATCCCTCCTGAGATGTGTGCAAACCTGGTGGCCAACTACAAGAAACGTCTGACCTCTGTGATTGCCAACAAGGGTTTTGCCACCAAGTACTAAGTCATGTTTTGCAGAGGGTTTCAAATACTTCTTTCCCTCATTAAAATGCAAATCAATTTATAACATTTTTGACATGCGTTTTTCTGGATTTTTTTGTTGTTATTCTGTCTCTCACTGTTCAAATAAACCTACCATTAAAATTATAGACTGATCATTTCTCTGTCAGTGGGCAAACGTACAAAATCAGCAGGGGATCAAATACTTTTTTCCCTCACTGTATATCATGGAAAGGTCAGGTGTTTCTAATGTTTTGTACACTCAGTGTCTACAGTAATAAGTACATACCTATCCAGCAAATAGAGACATTTTGAGTCCCTAATGCACAGTGCCATACACTGTGCATGTGTATGCCTGCAACACATGTGCCTAACTACGTACATGTGAGTGTGTGTGTGCATGTGTGTCTGTGTGTGTGTGGTCCAGGTAAAAAGAGTCATAAGATCAGACACAGACCTGACACCCCAATTACTCTTTCACTCCTGATGTGATGCGAGGGCGTCGTATAACACTTACCTTCATGGCATCCAGCGCCATCCGCAAATTGCTCTTGTCAGCCACGTCGTGAGTGTGTTTCACTAATTCCTGTAATTGGATCAAAACAAAACACAGTTCTATTTTATTCTCTCTGTTTTCACGAGCTAGCTAATTAGCCACATAGAGCCCTGAGAGAAGTAGGAAAAACAGAGATGGCAGGTAGCCATTAGGCTAACTCGCTCTGCCTGACACTTCAACTACAGCTCAACATTATAGACAAACAGTGTTAACCAAGGTTCTACCACGTTAGAAATTAGCTGCGTTTATCAAGTGATGTTGTTTCATTTGTACTGTGACTTCAGGGTTAGAAAAACAAACAAGGACAAACAAACAAAGCGATTGTTGATTACTATTTTCATGTCACACACACAGACAATTCACTGTTGCTGTGCACAATCACACACATACACACACACTTCTATTCAAAGACACACACACATATACATACAGTGGGGAAAAAAAGTATTTAGTCAGCCACCAATTGTGCAAGTTCTCCCACTTAAAAAGATGAGAGAGGCCTGTAATTTTCATCATAGGTACACGTCAACTATGACAGACAAATTGAGAAGAAAAAAATCCAAAAAATCACATTGTAGGATTTTTTATGAATTTACTTGCAAATTATGGTGGAAAATAAGTATTTGGTCACCTACAAACAAGCAGGATTTCTGGCTCTCACAGACCTGTAACTTCTTCTTTAAGAGGCTCCTCTGTCCTCCACTCGTTACCTGTATTAATGGCACCTGTTTGAACTAGTTATCAGTATAAAAGACACCTGTCCACAACCTCAAACAGTCACACTCCAAACTCCACTATGGCCAAGACCAAAGAGCTGTCAAAGGACACCAGAAACAAAATTGTAGACCTGCACCAGGCTGGGAAGACTGAATCTGCAATAGGTAAGCAGCTTGGTTTGAAGAAATCAACTGTGGGAGCAATTATTAGGAAATGGAAGACATACAAGACCACTGATAATCTCCCTCGATCTGGGGCTCCATGCAAGATCTCACCCCGTGGGGTCAAAATGATCACAAGAACGGTGAGCAAAAAATCCCAGAACCACACAGGGGGACCTAGTGAATGACCTGCAGAGAGCTGGGACCAAAGTAACAAAGCCTACCATCAGTAACACACTACGCCGCCAGGGACTCAAATCCTGCAGTGCCAGACGTGTCCCCCTGCTTAAGCCAGTACATGTCCAGGCCCATCTGAAGTTTGCTAGAGTGCATTTGGATGATCCAGAAGAGGATTGGGAGAATGTCATATGGTCAGATGAAACCAAAATATAACTTTTTGGTAAAAACTCAACTCGTCGTGTTTGGAGGACAAAGAATGCTGAGTTGCATCCAAAGAACACCATGCCTACTGTGAAGCATGGGGGTGGAAACATCATGCTTTGGGGCTGTTTTTCTGCAAAGGGACCAGGACGACTGATCCGTGTAAAGGAAAGAATGAATGGGGCCATGTATCGTGAGATTTTGAGTGAAAACCTCCTTCCATCAGCAAGGGCATTGAAGATGAAACGTGGCTGGGTCTTTCAGCATGACAATGATCCCAAACACACCGCCCGGGCAACAAAGGAGTGGCTTCGTAAGAAGCATTTCAAGGTCCTGGAGTGGCCTAGCCAGTCTCCAGATCTCAACCCCATAGAAAATCTTTGGAGGGAGTTGAAAGTCCGTGTTGCCCAGCGACAGCCCCAAAACATCACTGCTCTAGAGGAGATCTGCATGGAGGAAATGGCCAAAATACCAGCAACAGTGTGTGAAAACCTTGTGAAGACTTACAGAAAACGTTTGACCTGTGTCATTGCCAACAAAGGGTATATAACAAAGTATTGAAAAACTTTTGTTATTGACCAAATACTTATTTTCCACCATAATTTGCAAATAAATTCATAACAAATCCTACAATGTGATTTTCTGGAGAAAAAAATTCTAATTTTGTCTGTCATAGTTGATGTGTACCTATGATGAAAATTACAGGCCTCTCTCATCTTTTTAAGTGGGAGAACTTGCACAATTGGTGGCTGACTAAATACTTTTTTTCCCCACTGTACACACACACCTAGAAATGAAATCCCAACAAACATCATAATCCTAGATATGAAATAAAAATGTGGGATACCACGAAAGAACCCAGTAATAAAATATAATACATTTCTGTGTGTGCTCAAATCAAATTGTATTTGTCAAATGCGCCGAATACAACAGGTGTAGGTAGACCTTACAGTGAAATATATGCACTCACTAACTGTAAGTTGCTCTGGATAAGAGAGTCTGCTAAATGACTAAAATGTAAATGTAAAATGTAAATGCTTACTTTCAAGCCCTTAACCCAGTCCCCTCCCGCTGGGCCATATGTGTCTGCCTAGCACTCCTCAAATCCCAGGTGTCACTCAAGCTGAACCTGGGAATTGTTATCACAAGCAATGCGACAGGACCCTATTTTTCATTCTCTAACACACCTACACAGTGAGACCACAGCGAGAGAGAGAGAGAGAGAGAGAGAGAGAGAGAGAGAGAGAGAGAGAGAGAGAGAGAGAGAGAGAGAGAGAGGACTGCATATAGTACAGGCATATTGATGGATTCTGGTTCTAGTGAGTTGGGGACTGGTGGGAGCCAGTATGAAATAATGATAGAGGGAACAGAGAGAAATGGAGGTAGAGAACGAGAGAATGATCTGCCTGCCCTCCATCCTCCTTACCTCTCCTCCCTGATCTAAGCACTCACCTCCACTCTTTCCTCCCCCATCTCCCTCACCTCCCTCCCTCACTTCCCTCTCTCACTCCCTTCCTCCTCCCTCCCTACCCCCTACCCCGGGAGCGTGCTCCCTCCATTGGAGTGGATCGGGGGTCGGCACACGCCAGGCCAGGTCCCCAGGGTCCCCATGCAGCCCTCCTAGCCCGAGACAAACAGACAAACAGACACACACACAGACACAGCCCTGACAGACAGACAGCTCTGACTGGCTCTCTTACGCAACAGTGCCTCATGTCCTATGGAGTGGAATGGAACGCACCGACAGGGAGGGAGGGAGAGAAAGAGAAGACGGCTCAGAGCTGACCGCCAGTCACACATGTCAACCCCCTAGGAGCGTACACACCCACACACACCTTTCCACCTAGCCCCTGACTGCTAACCTGTCCGCCCTTACAGTGGTGGCCTAGGACTAACGTTAGAGCTGCAGGAGTCAGGACCAGACTGACTGACTGCAGTAATGCCTTATCAGGCTATTCACACACACTATGAATGATTATCTTTCTCTGCCGGTTGGTCTCCATCTCTTGCTCTCTCTATCTCTCTATCTCTCTATCTCTCTATCTCTCTATCTCTTGCTCTCTCTATCTCTCTATCTCTCTCTCTTGCTCTCTCTATCTCTCTATCTCTCTATCTCTTGCTCTCTCTATCTCTCTATCTCTCTATCTCTCTATCTCTTGCTCTCTCTATCTCTCTATCTCTCTATCTCTCTATATCTTGCTCTCTCTATCTATCTATCTCTCTATCTTTCTATTGCACTCTCTTGCTTATTCTTTTTCCTTCCTTCTATTTTTGCTGTCTGACTATCTCATTGCTCAGCTCAGTCTTTTTTTTTACGTTTAAAAGGCACACAACTTTTTAGGGCACACGTATATCCACAGAGGTGTCCAAAGCTAGTGTATGAGTAAAATATGGATAAGTGTGCCTCCACTGGTGATAGTCAGTAGTGCAGCTTTATTCCTGGTACTGAGGTAACAGTTGAATAGAAGTCACTCTCAGCTCTCTGAAGATAGATATCTTACCTGTAGAAGAAGATGATACTTCAGTACCCGCTGCATAGGGACCACTAGCAGATCCCTCAGTGTAAACTTCCCATAGTTGGCTCTCTTCGCACATTCCTGGCAAACACAATCAATAAATTATACTGCATGGTATTTGAACTGTCACTACAATATAACACAAAACATATTAATTTAGAGTAGAAAAAAGTACTTATTATGTGGAGAAAAAAAACAAAAAAACATTGCAGTTGGTGTGCCATGATCTGTAATGCCTATGGCAAACACTAGATGGCGGTATCTGACCACTGATTTAGACTGATAATGCACATATGGCAGACTTTACCTCCAGCTTCATTCGGATGTCCTCTCTGTGTTTGCAGATGTCATCCAGAGCAACGATGGCCGTTTCTACATGGCTACAGTATGTCCCATATATTAGCAATCTGGAACAGATATCAGTATATTAAAGTCAGTATTGTTGAGGTGAAAGAAATTGAGAGAGAGAGAGACTTGGGCTTGGGCCCTGACTTGGGCCCTGACAGTGAATCTCTGTAAGACAAAAAGAACAGTTTTCCAAAAAAGGTCCAGTAGCCAAGACAACAAATACAAATTCTATCTAGACACTGTTGTCCTAAAGCACAAAAAGAATTACACCTACCTCAGCCTAAACATCAACACCACAGGTAACTTAAACAAGGCTGTGAACGAATTAGGACTATACCTACTGCAGAAAATAGCTGTTAAATTCTACAACCACCACACATTCCACCACAAAGCCCTCACCTACAGAGAGATTAACCTAGAGAAGAGTCCCCTCAGCCAGCTGGTTCTGGGGCTCTGTTCACAAACACAAACAGACCCTACAGAGCCCCAGGACAGAAACACATTTAGACCCAACCAAATTATGAGAAAGCAAAAAGATAACTATTTGACACAACCAAAAAACAGAGCAAATTGGAATGCTATCTGGCCCTAAACAGAGGGTACACAGTGGCAGAATACCTGACCACTGTGACTGACCCTAAATTAAGAAAATCCTTGACTATGTACAGAGAGGCCGCCATAGGCAGACCTGGCTCTCGAGAGATGACAGGCTATGTGCACACTGCCCACAAAATGAGGTGGAAACTGAGCTGTATTTCCTAACCTCCTGCCAAATGTATGACCACATTAGAGACACATATTTTCCACAGATCACACAGACCCACACAGAATTTGAAAACAAATCAAACATTGATAAACTCCCATATCTGTTAGGTGAAATTACGCAGTGTGCAGTCACAGCAGCAAGATTTGTGGCCCGTTGCCATGAGAAAAGGGCAACCAGTGGAGCACAAACAACATTGTAAATACAACCTATATTTATCTGTTTATTTATTTTCCCTTTCATACTTCAATTACTTGCACATTGTTACACCACTGTACATAGCCAATAATATAACATTTGAAACGTCTATATTCTTTCAAAATGTTTGTGAGTGTAATGTTTACTAATGTTTCCCTTGTTAATTTCCATTTTGTTTATTGTCTAATCAATTTGCTTTGGCAATGTAAACATGTGTTTTCCATGCCATTAAAGCCCTTTGAATGCATGAATTGAATTGAGAGAGAGAGAGGGAAGAGAGGGGGGAGAGAGAGAGAGAAGAGAGAGGAAGCGATAGGAGAGAGAGAGAGAGAGGAAGAAGGATAGCATACCAGGATATCGAGAGCGAGAGATAGTCAGGAGCTATACTCGATATCGAGAGCGAGCACTATCATAGATCCGACCCTACTCGAGCCATCAAGCATCCTCCCTTCCCCTACCCATAGATCCAAAAATCGAAGATGAAAGTCAAGATTGAGAGAAGGAGACAGAAAACCAAGGCTGGTTCAATCAACGCTGTTTTCACGTCATTTCAACAACATCAAAATCCATGTAATGACATTGAATCAACGTGGAAAACTGGGAATTTCGTCTTTTTTTCATGTAACTTTTTTCCTAAATCCAATGACACTGTGATTTTGTTTGTTGATTTCAAGTTTAATTCACATTAGTTTACAACTCAACCAAATGTAAATCAAAAATAGACATTGAACTGACGTCTGTGCCCAGTGGGATAGTTCTGTGGAATTGTACCTCTCTTTGTAGTTGATGAAGATCTGGTAGAGGTTCTGAGCACTTTTATGGCAGACAGAGTCTTGGATCTCCACCATGAGACTCTTGTGAACTTTAACCAGGTCCTGAAACACAACAACAGTCCATGACAAGCACACACTGAAGACCCATAGGGCTTGGGACAACAGGTTATAGCTGATATTTTGGAGAAGGGTCTACTTGCAATAACTGTGATATGTGTTGTTTTATTTACTACTAAATGTAGCTAGTTAAATGCACTGACTGTAAGTCAATCTGGAATAAGAATATCTGCTAAATGACTAAAATGTCACTGTACATGTTTTACTTAACGTCTCTCTACAATCTCTATCTCTATCTGTACCATCTCTACCATCTACATGGTTGGGGTTTCTGTCCTGTAAGTTACCGGAATGTTGACAAACACTTTCTTCATCTCCTCTGAGGACAGGAACGCCGTAAGAGGTGCCATAAAATACTGGATGGGAAAAACAGAGCGTTAGAAAAACAGTGAGTGGGTTGGTTCCACTAAAACAGGAAAGCTAGGCAAGCAGTTGCTGCATGTTTACGAGAACTATTTGGGTCAGCAAAATAATTACATATAGCACAACACAAGTGATTTATCAGAACAATCTTTAATCTTAAATAGTGTCTGCCTACATAAGGCACTGTTTGCATAACGTCATGAACGGAATGGTTAATGAATGAAGAGGATTGTGAGAATACAGTATGAAGGGGAAGGTATTTGGTTTTAGCACCAGAAGGGTAGGGGAGGTACAGTTGAAGTCTGAAGTTTACATACACTTAGGTTGGAGTCATTAAAACTCGTTTTTCAACCACTCCACAAATTTCTTGTTAACAAACTATAGTTTTTGCAAGTCGGTTAGGACATCTACTTTGTGCATGACACAAGTAATTTTTCCAACAATTGTTTACAGACAGATTATTTCAGTCTGGTTCATCCTTGGGAGCAATTTCCAAATGCCTGAAGGTACCACGTTCATCTGTACAAGCAATAGTATGCAAGTATAAACACCATGGGACCACGCAGCCGTCATACCCGCTCAGGAAGGAGACGCGTTCTGTCTCCTAAGATGAACGTACCTTGGTGCGAAAAGTGTCAAATCAATCCCAGAACAACTGCAAAGGACCTTGTGAAGATGCTGGAGGAACAGGTACAAAAGTATCTATATCCACAGTAAAACGAGTCCTATATCGACATAACCTGAAAAGCCACTCAGCAAGGACCGCTGGAGCCACTGCTCCAAAACCGCCATAAAAAAGCCAGACTACGGTTTGCAACTGCACATGGGCACGAAGATCGTACTTTTTGAGAAATGTCCCTCTGGTCTGATGAAACAAAAATAGAACTGTTTGGCATAATGACCATCGTTATGTTTGGAGGAAAAGGTGGTACTTGCAAGCCGAAGAACACCATCCCAACCGTGAAGCACGGGGGTGGCAGCCATCATGCTGTGGGGTGCTTTGCTGGCAGGAGGGACTGGTGCACAAAATAGATAGCACAGAAGAAGGAAAATTATGTGGATATATTGAAGCAACATCTCAAGACATCAGTTTAGGAGTTAAGCTTGGTCGCAAAGGGTCTTCCAATGGACAATGACCCCAAGCATACTTCCAAAGTTGTGGCAAAAATGGCTTAAGGACAACAAAGTCAAGGTCATTGGAGTGGCCGTCACACAGCCCTTGACTTCAATCCTATAGATAATTTGTGGCCAAAACTGAAAAAGTGTGTGCGAGCAAGGAGGGCCTCCAAACCTAACTCAGTTACACCAGCTCTGTCAGGAGGAATGGGCCAAAATTCACCCAACTTATTGTGGGAAGCTTGTGGAAGGCTACCTGAAAACTTTTGACCCAAGTTAAAACAATTTTAAAGGCAATGCTACCAATACTAATTGAGTTTAATGTAAACTTCTGACCCACTGAAATGGGGATAAAAGAAAAAAAGGGCTGAATAAATTTTTCTCTCTATTTTATTTTTTCTACTTTTCCCCATTTTTTAAAATAAAGTTTTAAATCGAAATTTAACCTAAAACGGGAATTTATCCCTAGGTTTAAAATTGTCAAAAATTTTTGAAAACTGAGTTTAAAAAATTTTATTTGGCTAATTTTGTAGGTAAATTTAAACTTCCCCATTAAATGTTTTTTTGGATAACCCCTTTCCCTTTCTCTATGGTTTTCCAAGTCTCGGGTGTATTTTCCCCCATCCCCCTTGATCTTTTGGTCAGACGCAGCTCCGATGCCCGTCCCCCCTACCTGCTTTTTGGAAAACGACAAAACCAACACACCACAAAACCCCCCACACCACAACCCCCCAAACAAAACCCCCCCAAAACAAAAACTGTCAAACCCAAGCCAAAAGCTGGAATCCAAGTTGCAAAAATCCTTTTTGGGGGACTTATAAAGTTAAATTAAAACCCTTTTTTGCTTCTTGAAAATATACTGTAAAAATTTTAAAATAAATTTCCCCGAGAAAATCCATAGTTTAAAATCTCTATCTTGAGAAGGGTTTTTACTTTCCTCCGGGCCCCCGTCCCTCGGGCTTTTTAAAACCAAAAAGAAAGGAAGGGTGGCCCCCGCGGGTTATTTTTTTAAATTTAAATTTCCCTTTTTTTAAAATGCAAAATTTGGGGAGAGAGGCGGAGAGAGAAAAAAAGTAAAGAGAGAGCCAGAACAGACCCAGACGGACGACAGAGAGGGGAGTGAGAGAAAAAGAAAAAGAGAGAGGGGCAGAGATTCAGAAAAAAGAGAGGAAAGGGACAGACAGACAGACAGACAGAGAGAGAGAGAGCGAGAGAGAGATAGGAGAGAGAGAGATACAGAGAGAGAGAGAGATAGAGAGAGAGAGAGAGAGAGAGAGAGAGAGAGAGGAGAGATAGAGAGAGAGAGAGAATATTTTTATTTTCCCATTTGTACTTTAACTATTTGCACATTGTTACAACACTGTCTACAGTGAGGGAAAAAAGTATTTGATCCCCTGCTGATTTTGTACGTTTGCCCACTGACAAAGACATGATCAGTCTATAATTTTAATGGTAGGTTTATTTGAACAGTGAGAGAAAAACGCATGTCAAAAATGTTATAAATTGATTTGCATTTTAATGAGGGTAATAAGTATTTGAACCCCTCTCAATCAGAAAGATTTCTGGCTCCCAGGTGTCTTTTATACAGGTAACGAGCTGAGATTAGGAGCACACTCTTAAAGGGAGTGCTCCTAATCTCAGTTTATTACCTGTATAAAAGACACCTGTCCACAGAAGCAATCAATCAGATTCCAAACTCTCCACCATGGCCAAGACCAAAGAGCTCTCCAAGGATGTCAGGGACAAGATTGTAGACCTACACAAGGCTGGAATGGGCTACAAGACCATCGCCAAGCAGCTTGGTGAGAAGGTGACAACAGTTGGTGCGATTATTCGCAAATGGAAGAAACACAAAATAACTGTCAATCTCCCTTGGCCTGGGGCTCCATGCAAGATCTCACCTCGTGGAGTTGCAATGATCATGAGAACGGAATCAGCCCAGAACTACACGGGAGGATCTTGTCAATGATCTCAAGGCAGCTCGGACCATAGTCACAATTGGTAACACACTACGCCGTGAAGGACTGAAATCCTGCAGCGCCCGCAAGGTCCCCCTGCTCAAGAAAGCACATATACATGCCCTTCTGAAGTTTGCCAATGAACATCTGAATGATTCAGAGGAGAACTGGGTGTCAGTGTTGTGGTCAGATGAGACCAAAATCGAGCTCTTTGCCATCAACTCAACTCGCCGTGTTTGGAGAAGGAGGAATGCTGCCTATGACCCCAAGAACACCATCCCCACCGTCAAACATGGAGGTGGAAACATTATGCTTTGGGGGTGTTTTTCTGCTAAGAGGACAGGACAACTTCACCGCATCAAAGGGACGATGGACGGGGCCATGTACCGTCAAATCTTGGGTGAGAACCTCCTTCCCTCAGCCAGGGCATTGAAAATGGGTCGTGGATGGGTATTCCAGCATGACAATGACCAAAAACACACGGCCAAGGCAACAAAGGAATGGCTCAAGAAGAAGCACATAAAGGTCCTGGAGTGGCCTAGCCAGTCTCCAGACCTTAATCCCATAGAAAATCTGTGGCGGGAGCTGAAGGTTCGAGTTGTCAAACGTCAGCCTCGAAACCCTAATGACTTGGAGAAGATCTGCAAAGAGGAGTGGGACAAAATCCCCCCTGAGATGTGTGCAAACCTGGTGGCCAGCTACAAGAAACGACTGACCTCTGTGATTGCCAACAAGGGTTTTGCCACCAAGTACTAAGTCAGGGGTCAAATACTTATTTCCCTCATTACAATACAAATCAGTTTATAACATTTTTGACATGCGTTTTTTTCTGAATGTTTTTGTTGTTATTCTGTCTCTCACTGTTCAAATAAACCTACCATTAAAATCATAGACTGATCATGTCTTTGTCAGTGGGCAAACGTACAAAATCAGCAGGGGATCAAATACTTTTGTCCCTCACTGTATATACATAATATGACATTTGAAATGTCTTTATTCTTTTGGAACTTCTGAGTGTAATGTTTACTGTTAATATGTATTGTTTATTTCACTTTTGTTTACTATCTACTTCACTTGCTTTGGCAATGTTAACTTACGTTTCCCATGCCAATAAAGCCCTTAAATTGAATTGAATTGAAATTGAGAGATAGAGAGAGAGAGAGAGAGAGAGAGAGAGAGAGAGAGAGAGAGAGAGAGAGAGAGAGGGAGAGGAGAGAGAGCGAGAGAGCGGAGCGATGGGGGGGATGTCTCCTCGAGGCTAGAAGGGGGAGAAGAGAGAGGCTGAGAGAGAGTGAGAGAGAGGAGAAGCTCTCGCGCCGAGCTCTCTCTCTCGAGAGCCTAGCGTCTATATATCTCTATATCTATCTATCTATGAGAGAGAGAGAGAGAGAGAGAGAGAGAGGAGAGGTGAGTGAACTCCCCCTGCACATCGACTGGGTACTGGGTCCCCCCCATAGGGGCTACAGCAACAATTAGATCATCTGCAACAGTTCTGTCAGACCTGGGCAATGACAGTCAATTTCAAGAAATCAAACATTATGTTATCTCAGAAAAGGTCTAGATGTCAGGGAAACCGATATACTGTTTTACTGGCCTCCACTCATATAGAACAAACACACACCTACACATATTTGGGACAAAAAAAATGATCCACAGGGAACTTCAAGCTGGCCGTGAATTAACTGAAAGACAAATCAAGGAGGGCTTTCTATGCCATTAAAATATATATTAAATTAGACATATCAATTAGGATCTGGCTCAAAATATTCTAATCAATAATATAACCAATTGCACTATATGGTAGTGAAGTGTGGGGTCTGCTTACAAAGCAAGAATTTGACAAATTGGAAAAACACCCAACTGAAACCCTGCATGCAGAATTCTGTAAGAGCATCCTCAGAGTACAGAGAAAAACTCCAAACAACGCATGCAGAGCAGAATTAGGCCATTACCCTCTTCTGATTCATATCCCAAAAAGAGCCACCAAATGTTATAATCATTTAAAAACAAGTGACCCCCACTCCTACCATTTCAAAGCCCTCAAATGCCAAGAGGTGAACATAGAGAAGAATCCCCTCAGCCAGGTAGTCCTGAGGCTATGTTCACTAACCACTACCAACCCAACAAAGCCTCAGGACAACACTCTGAAAATCTGGCCCAACCAAAAAATTGTATATATCACCTATTGGAAAGACCACACAAAATGTCAAAGTAAAATTCAATGCTATTTGGTTGTAAACAGACAGTACACTCTCACTATTTCAATATTGTCCTCATTCATTTCTTACTGTATTGTCCTGTTAATTGTTATTACTCATTGAGTATTATTATTTTTCCTGTTATTATCTATCTGTGTCATCATTCATTTGATATGTGTCTATATGTTTACTTTGGCAATGTATGTGTTAACACTTCCATGCCAATAAAGCCTTTTGTATTTAATTGAGAGAGCGAGACAGAGAGATGCAGAGAGACACAGACAGAGAGAGAGAGAGAGAGAGAGAGAGAGAGAGAGAGAGAGAGAGAGAGAGAGAGAGAGAGAGAGAGAGAGAGAGAGAGAGAGAGAGAGAGAGAGATGTGATTGAACTCCCCCTGCACATTGACTCAGTACTGGAACTCCCTTTATATAGCCATGTTATTTTTACTAATTATTGTTATTCGTTATCACTGTGTATTTATTATTTATTCCTTGTGTCACTATTTATATCTTAAACTCTGCATTGTTGGAAAAGGACCCGTAAGTAAGCATTTCACTGTTAGTCTACACCTGTTGTTTACGAAGCATGTGACGAATAAAATTTGACTTGATTTGAACTAACCAGAGGAGGAGGGACGGCTTCAGCCTTCATCAGATCTTCATAGATCTCTCCTCCATCTTCATCATCATAGACACAGTCATAAAGATCCTCCTCATCCTCCACTCCATTCTCACTGTCACACACACAAACAGGTTACCATTATAATACTGTAACATTTATACTGCTGTTGTTATCATCATCATACGCATAGTCATACACACGTGATTGTGCGCATGCTTGCATGCATGTGTGTCTGCATGGGTTTGTGACTCTTTGTGTGTATGTGTGGTTTTGTCCAGAAGTCTGGAATGGTGTGAGTGTGAATAGAGCCACTGGCCATCTCTGACAGCCTACACATCATCTAAGCCAATTAGCTTAGCAGCTGTGTTCTTCTCCCAGAAGAAGCCAGGGACGATAAGTTGTGTTCCAAGACTGAGTAGACCAGTAAGAGACAGTAAGACAGGCCAAGAGGTAGACTTACTCAATCAGGTCTTCTAGGTGGTTATAGATGTCCTCATCTTCTTCTAGACTCTCCTCTGAAGGAAAAGCCCTTCGGAAAGAAAAGGTATGTAATGGCACCAAACATGTACTAATACAAAACCCAATTTGATTTGGAAATTGGAATAAACACTTGGTCAGAACTTACTTTATTCCGGTTTGTTCTGAAATCGTTGTGCGGGACAGTTTGGATAATGTGTCCATAACCTTCAATGAAAATGAATGGAAACGTTATAGACTTGGTTACTGTAATGATCATATTAGTGTTGTACATCTGTTTTTTAGACATTAGAGGGCAGTGTTCCCCAATAGTAGAGCATTACAGTACGAGACCTATGGAAGAGTAGTAGATTGTGAGTGATTACATGACATTCCAACATAATCCATAAAGTTAACAACATGGTGTTTTAGTGCATAATGAATTAACATATTTTTGTTTCGTGTTTCAGACATCACCAAATGTTCTGTAAACACCAGCCCGAGAGGCTTGTAGGAAACCCAAATAAAAGGCTATGACTTTATCAGCTGCTAAAGAATCACACAGTGTTCACAGAATGTCATCAATACAATACAACAGTGAATAACAAGTGTATCCTAGGTCCTTGTACCTCTAGTCTGGCATCAATCACTATCAACAGATATGAGAATAATCCATAACATTCAGTATCAAGTCTAGTGACCATCAACCTGCACCTTGAGTGTCAAAAATAGAACATGACATCATGTGTATTACAGAAAGGGGAAATATATAAATATGCTAAATAATGTGATAATCACTCTAAACTGAATATGAACCTTAGTGATCTTACAATTCCCCATTATAATCCCTATAGAGATTCCTGTAAATAAATCATGGTACATAAATTACTAGATAAAATACAAATAGACCAATATGACGATACAATAGTGTAAAAGTGGTTGAAGAATAAAATCAATGATTGTATCTTTACCTTAATTAGTAGTGTTCGGCTCTGTGAGTCAATGAACATGTGATTGACATGTATGACGCATGTAATTTCACACTGAATTGGACAGTAATGACAATGTCCTTGACCTGATACAGTATAATAAGAGCATTTCTAACCGTACGCTGGGTGAGCAAAAATACAACTTTAAACAAACAATTATGTTCTTATAGTGGCTTCATATTGCGTAACATATAGAAATCTCCTGTTTGTTCATTGTTGTAATTCCTTCCTTTTTCTCTGTAGATGATCTATTTGCCTGTAAACGCAGACACTCACACACACACTCACACACACACACATACGTCACTAGCCCTCAGCTCTCACTGATCAATACTGATCACACCAGCTCATCTAGATGTCCCCTCACCCAGCCACGCTACTAATAAATTGCATTAGGCACACACAACCACCCACCCACCCACACACACACATGCACACACGCACACAGGATATTGGCCAAGAGATCTATAGTTTTTAATTGGCCTTTGTTTCACAGCAGATTGTTGATACTACGAGTTGAGCTCTATTGCTCTCCACTTGAATGGGTTAGGTGAAGTGCATTATGAAGGTTGTAGTCCTTTCTGCTGTTGAGCTCAACAGTGGTCATAGTAAAGCCAGTGACCCTAGTGATCGCAGTAATGTGTTAGTGTTATTGAATGTGTCAGATAAGGGTGTAGTATTTCCCCAACATGACTGTAGGCCCTGTGGGGACCAGAGGAGATAGAGATGGAGTGGGATGAAGAGCAGGAAGGACAGGGAGGGAAAGAGAGGAGAGAGAGAGAGAGAGAGAGAGAGAGAGAGCGAGAGAGAAGCGGGGGGGGGAGGAGAGAGAGACGAGAGAGTACGAGAGAGATGAGAGAGAGAGAGAGAGAGAGAGAGAGAGAGAGAGAGAGGAGAGAGGAGAGAGAGAGAGAGAGGAGAGGAGAGAGAGAGAGAGAGAGAGAGAGAGAGAGAGAGAGAGAGAGAGTACTGTAGACTACTTTATCACTGACCTCAACCCAGAGTCTCTCAGAGCGTTCACAGTCAGCCCACAGTCTACTTGAACAGAGCAATGCTCAATCATGAGGCATCAAAGCCAAAGGAACTGAATAATATTAAGAAACGCTATAGATGAAAGGAAAGTAGTGTCGAAACCTACTAAAAAACAATTAGGCAACAACAAATTAAATCCCTTTTAGACAACTTCCTGGACAAAACGTTCCACTGTAATAGTGAAGGTGTAAACTTTATTTTTTTTTCTTTTTCTTCGGGGGGAAGGATCAGCTTAATATTGCAGATAGATTGTATCTTCTATCAATGTAATTGTCTGCATCACTTCCAATCCCCCATATTTATTTTTATTTTTTATATATATATTCCCCTTTATTACTTTTCAACCCCACCATCCTTTCCCTACTTGGAGTAAATTAGTGAACAACAACGCCCAGGCCTCTACTTCCGGTCCATACTCACTATCTACACCTTATGGACAGAGTTAATTTTACAATAATTCTATATCTATATATATATATATATATATATATATATATATATATATATATACACATACACACACACACACATATACATATATATATATATATATACATATATATATATATATATATACATATATACATACATATACATATACACATCTATTTATTTTTTTTCTCCTGAACTTCTTCTACTCTCAACCTCTCCGATCATCTTCATGATGTCCATCCGGTTTGCCTCTAAATGCCATATCTTTCTAACTGTGCTCCTTCCCAAAAGCTCCCAACATACAACCTATATACTTATTATGGACACAGTATGCTTACATTATTAGCTATCTTTGTTATTATTTGTTGTTATTTGTTATTAGTCCCATCCTTCAACTCTATTCAATACCTCCCATCTATCTCTTAACACCATCCATATAGGATTTCTATTTGCCATATATATTTCAACCATACTTTGATGTTTTACAAAAGTTCTGAACCTTTCTATTCTCATTGCTTCTACAGATTGTGAATTAAAAATAAACATTTTTGCTAAAAGTATTATTATATTATTGATTGATTGACTATGACTTTTCAGATCACCCAGTAATGCTATCTGCAAGGTTAGTTCCAGGTAAATATTGCAATCCTTTAGCCATTCCTGGACCTGTGTCCAAAAACAAGCTACAAATGGACAGAACCAAAACAAATGATCTAATGATTCTATCTCTTCACAGCAAAATCTGCAGAGCTGGGAAGATTGTATCCCCCATATAAATAACATTCTATTGGTAGCAAGAATTTTATATAATAATTTAAATTGAAAGATTCTAATTTTTGAATCCGGTGTCGTTTTGCGTGTCAGTTCATAAACACTATGCCATGGGATCGGTACGTCAAAGATCTCTTCCCAACTATTTTGCAATCTATATGGGACTGCTGTCAATCCTTTGGTCCTTAAGTGAAACTGATATACTTTTTTATTTATCACAGTTTTCCTTAACCAATTATGTTCTTTAATGCAAGGCCGACAGACAAGTTCCTTACTTTCTCCCCCTTCAACTTTCCTCTTCCACTTTTGCGGTATGGCTGCAATTATTTGGTTGTAATTTTGGGTAGAGCAGACATTTCCATATGTTTTTATTAGCTGCATGTGCGACATAACTCCACCAGTCCTACCGATGATATCATTTACGAAGATTATACCTTTTTTAAACATTCTGTCAATAAATATAGGTTTTTTGTCAATTAGTATATTTGAATTTAACCACAATATTTGTTGCATTATTTGTTCTGTCGTTTCTGGAGGATTAAATTGAAATTGTAACCAACTTTCTATGGCTTGTTTTAGAAATAGTGACATTTGGGAGATTATTTCCTTTTCAAATAACTGAAAGTGAGAGGTTGTAATCTGAATAAAGGGAAAAAGGCCTTTCTTGAACAGTGGGTGAGACAATCTTACTAATTTGCTTGAGAACCAGTTCGGATTTAAGTATAACTTTTGGATGACTGAAGATTTTAGTGATAGGTCTAATGCTTTAATATTTAATAATTTCTGTCCTCCGAATTCATATTCATTATATAAATATGCTCTTTTAATTTTGTCTGGCTTGCCGTTCCAAATAAAATTGAATATTTTTTTCTCATATAATTTAAAAAACTGTTTGCTAGGCGTAGGCAAGACCATAAGCAAATAGGTAAACTGGGATAATACTAAAGAGTTAATCAGGGTGATTTTTCCACAAATTGACAGGTATTTTCCTTTCCATGGTAGTAAGATCTTATCTATTTTTGCTAACTTTCTATTAAAATTTATTGAAGTGAGATCATTTATTTCCTTTGGGATATGTATTCCGAGTATATCCACATCACCATCAGACCATTTTATTGGTAAACTACATGGTAATGTAAAAATTGTATTTTTTAGTGATCCAATACGTAATATAGTACATTTGTCATAATTTGGTTTTAATCCAGAGAGGTTAGAAAATGTATCTAGATCCTCTATGAGGCTGTGGAGGGATTCTAGTTGTGGATCTAAAAGAAAACATGAATCATCTGCGTACAATGACACCTTTGTTTTTAAGCCCTGTATTTCTAATCCTCTGATATTATTATTGGATCTGATTTTAATAGCTAACATCTCGATGGCCACAATAAATAGATATGCCGATAGTGGACAACCTTGTTTCACTCCTCTTGACAGTTTGAAACTTTCTGAGAAATAGCCATTATTTACTATTTTACACCTAGGGTTACTATACATGATTTTGACCCATTTTATAAGAGATTCTCCAAAATTGAAATGCTCCAGGCATTTATATATGAATTCCAGTCGAACTTTATCAAATGCCTTTTCGAAGTCTGCTATGAATAGCAGGCCTGGTTTCCCATATTTTCCATAGTGTTCTATTGTTTCCAATACTTGCCTTATATTGTCTCCAATGTATCTTCCATGTAAAAAACCTGTCTGATTAGAATGAATAATATCCGACAATACCTTTTTAATTCTATGCGCTATACATTTTGCTAGGATTTTTGCATCACAACACTGAAGTGTAAGGGGCCTCCAATTTTGTAAATGGACTGGATCTTTATATTTTCCACTTGTATCCTGTTTCAGTAATAATGAGATCAGACCTTCTTCTTGAGTGTCAGATAATCTACCATTTACATAGGAGTGGTTAAAACATGCTAATAACGGTCCTCTTAGTATTTCAAAAAAGGTTTGGTATACCTCGATTGGTATGCCATCCAACCCTGGAGTTTTCCCGGACTTAAAGTCTTTAATTGCATCCAGAAGTTCCTCCTCTGTAATTTCACCTTCACATGAGTCTTTCTGTGTGGCTGTTAATTTGACATTATCAATAGGAAAAAAATCTCTACAATTAGCTTCAGTTAGAGGAGATGGAGGCGACTGAAAAGAAAACATATGCTTAAAATACTTTGTTTCTTCCTTCAAAATATCATTAGGTGAATTATGGGTGACTCCGTCAATTGTAACCAGTTTCATTAAGTTCTTTTTGGTAGCATTCCTATGTTGAAGATTAAAAAAGAATTTTGTGCATTTTTCCCCATATTCCATCCAGTTTGCTTTATTTTTATAATATATTACACTTGATCTTTCTTGAATAAGTTTTTCCATTTCTTTTTGTTTTTCCTCTAATTTATTCTGAGCCTCTATGTTACAGTTTTTATTGCCATCTATCTGTTCTGTTAGACTTTCTATTTCCTTTCTTAGTATAAACTCTTTTGACCTAAATTGCTTTTGTTTTCGAGATGAGTACTGAATTGCATGGCCTCTAAAGGCACATTTAAAGGTGTCCCATACAATAAGGGGATTCGCTGTACCTAAGTTATGTTGGAAAAAGTCAGTTATAAATTCCTTTGTTCTAATTATAAATAAATTATCATCTAATAGGCTTTGATTAAATTTCCAATATCCTCGCCCACGTGGAAATTCAGTCAGAGTAATGTATATGCCTATTATATGATGGTCCGACCGCATTCTGTCCCCTATCAACACTTTTTTTTACTTTTGGTGCCAACGAGAATGAGATAAGAAAGAAGTCAAGACGACTAGCTTGATTCAGTCTCCGCCATGTATATCTCACTAGATCAGCATATTTAAGCCTCCATATATCTACTAGTTCTAATGTATCCATGACATTCACAATTTCCTTAAGAGCATGTGGGTGATTGTTTGTGGTGTGATTTCCTTTTCGGTCCATTGAGCTATTTAAAACAGTATTATAATCCCCCACCATAATAATATTGTCTTGAGTTGCTTGCAGGCTTGATAATTTATTATATATATTGTCAAAGAATTGTGGATCATCATTATTTGGTCCGTAAAGGTTAATGAGCCATATCTGTTTATTGTCCAATACCATATTTAAAATAATCCATCTACCTTGCGTATCTATTTGGACAATTTGCACATTCGGATCGAAATTACTATTAATTAATATCATCACCCCTTTTGAATTTCTTTGCCCATGGGAGAAGTATATTTCCCCCCCCCCATTCTTTTTTCCACGCTACTTCATCTCGAATTGTTGAATGAGTTTCCTGTATACAATAGATATTATATTCCTTCTCTTTGAGCCATGTAAATATTGTTCTTATTTTGTTATTATCAGCTAAGCCATTACAATTATAACTGGCTATACTTATTTCACCATACACCATAATGAGATACAAGTTTCAAGTCTATTTATCATTATATATGTTTGTAAATTTACCAATAAAAAATAGCGTAATGATTGAGTGTCCATATAGCTGTACCGTGATATTTGCATTGCTACGGAGTAACCTGATATTTGCATTGCTACGGAGTGAAGGTGTAAACTTGGCAGTAGAAAACCTAAACAATATATTTGACCTCTCAGCTTCCATATCAAATCTAAAAATCTCAAACAGAAAACCGAAGAAAAGTAACAACAGTGACAAATGGTTTGATGAAGAATGCAAAAACCTAAGAAAGAAATTGAGAAACCCATCCAACCAAAAACATAGAGACCCAGAAAACCTGAGCCTACGCCTCCACTATGGTGAATCATTAAAACAATACAGAAATACACCACGAAAAAAGAAGGAACAGCATGTCAGAAATCAGCTCAATGTAACTGAAGAATCCATAGACTCTAACCACTTCTGGGAAAATTGAAAAACACTAAACAAACAACAACACGAAGAGCTATCTATCCAAAATGGAGATGTATGGGTAAACCACTTCTCCAATCTTTTTGGCCCTATAACAAATAACAAACAGCAAAAAAATATACATGATCAAATGCAAATCTTAGAATCAACTATTAAAAACTACCAGAACCCACTGGATTCTCTAATTACACTGAATGAACTACAGGACAAAATATAAACCCTCCAACCCAAAAAGGCCTGTGGTGTTGATGGTATCCTCAATGAAATGATAAAATATACAGACCACAAATTCCAATTGGCTATACTATACTTAAAGCTCTGGCATCTTGCCCAATATTTGGAACCAATGACTGATCACTCCAATCCACAAAAGTGGAGACAAATTTGACCCCAATAACTACCGTGGGATATGCGTCAACAGCAACCTCAGGAAAATCCTCTGCATTATCATTAACAGCAGACTAGTTCATTTCCTCAGTGAAAACAATGTACTGAGCAAATGTCTAATTGGCTTTTTACCAGATTACCGTACGACAGACCACGTATTCACCCTGCACACCCTAATTGACAAACAAACAAACCAAAACAAAGGCAAAGTCTTCTCATGCTTTGTTGATTTCAAAAAAGCTTTTGACTCAATTTTGCATGAGGGTCTGCTAAATGACAAAAAAATTCAATACAAATAAATAAATACTTTTTTTAAAAAGGGTCTGCTATACAAATTGATGGAAAGTGGGGTTGGGGGAAAAACATACGACATTATAAAATCCATATACACAAACAACAAGTGTGCGGTTAAAATTGGCAAAAAACACACACATTTCTTTCTACAGGGCCGTGGGGTGAGACAGGGATGCAGTTTAAGCCCCACCCTCTTCAACATATATATCAACGAATTGGCGAGGGCACTAGAACAGTCTGCAGCACCCGGCCTCACCCTACTAGAATCTGAAGTCAAATGTCAGAGCCCCAGGCTCTGTCGTAGCCGGCCGCGACCGGGAGACCCATGGGGCGGCACACAATTGGCCCAGCATCGTCCAGGGTAGGGGAGGGAATGGCCGGCAGGGATGTAGCTCAGTTGGTAGAGCATGGCGTTTGCAATGCCAGGGTTGTGGGTTCGATTCCCACGGGGGGCCAGTATGAAAAATAAAAAAATAATGTATGCACTCACCAACTGTAAGTCGCACAGATTCTGTCAGACCTGGGTCCTGACAGTAAATCTCAGTAAGACAAAAATAATGGTGTTCCAAAAAAGGTCCAGTTGCCAGGACCACAAATACAAATTCCATCTAGACACCATTGACATAGAGCACACAAAAAACTACACATACAGTGGATATAAAAAGTCTACACACACCTGTTAAAATGCCAGGTTTTTGTGATGTAAAAGAATGAGACAAAGATAAATCATGATATAACTTTTGACACTGTTAATGTGACCTATAATGTGAACAATTCAATTGAAAAACAAACTGAAATCTTCGAGGGGGAAAAATGAAAACCTTACAATAACCTGGTTGCATAAGTGTGCACACCCTCTTATAACTGGGGATGTGGCTGTGTTCAGAATTAACCAATCACATTCAAACTCATGTTAAATAGAAGTCATTACACACCTGCCATCATTTAAAGTGACTCTGATTAATCACAAATAAAGTTCAGCTGTTCTAGTAGGATTTTCCTGACATTTTCTTAGTTGCATCTCAGAGCAAAAGCCATGGTCCGCAGAGAGCTTCCAAGGCATCAGAGGGATCTCATTGTTGAAAGATATCAGTCAGGAGAAGGGTACAAAATAATTTCCAAAGCATTACATATACCATGGAACACAGTGAAGACAGTCATCATCATGTGGAGAAAATATGGCACAACAGAGACATTACCAAGAACTGGACGTCCCTCCAAAATGTATGAAAAGACGAGAAGAAAACTGGTCAGGGAGGCTTCCAAGAGGCCTACAGCAACATTAAAGGAACTGCAGGAATTTCTGGCAAGTACTGGCTGTGTGCTACATGTGACAACAATATTATTATATTATATATAGTATTCTTCATATGAATGGGCTATGGGGTAGGGTGGCAAGACGGAAGCCTTTTCTTACATAGAAAAACATCCAAGCCCGGCTGAAGTTTGCAAAAAACAAACATCAAGTCCCCCAAAAGCACGTGGGAAAATGTGTTATGGTCTGATGAAACCAAGGTTGAACTTTTTGGCCATAATTCCAAAAGGTATGTTTGGCACAAAAACAACACTGCACATCACCCAAAGAACACCATACCCACAGTGAAGCATGGTGGTGGCAGCATCATGCTTTGGGGCTATTTTTCTTCAGCTGGAACCGGGGCCTTAGTCAGGGTGGAGGGAATTATGAACAGTTCCAAATACCAGGCAATTTTGGCACAAAACCTTCAGGCGTCCGTTAGAAAGCTGAAAATGAAGAGGAAGTTCACCTTTCAGCACAACAACGACCCAAAGCACACATCCAAATCCACAAAAGCATGGCTTCACCAGAAGAAGATTAACGTTTTGGAATGGCCCATTCAGAGCCCAGACCTGAATCCAATTGAACATATCTGGGGTGATCTGAAGAGGGCTGTGCACAGGAGATGTCCTCGCAATCTGACAGATTTGGAGCGCTTTTGCAAAGAAGAATGGGCAAATATTGCCACGTCAAGATGTGCCATGCTAATAGACTCCTACCCAAAAAGACTGAGTGCTGTAATAAAATCAAAAGGTGCTTCAAAAAAGTATTAGTTTAAGGGTGTGCACACTTATGCAACCAGGTTATTGTGAGTTTTTTATTTTTTATTTTTCTCCCTCAAAGATTTCAGTTTGTTTTTCAATTGAATTCTTCATGTTATAGGTCACATTAAAGGTGGAAAAAGTTCTGACATGATTTATCTTTGTCTCATTCTTTTACATCACAAAAACCTGCCATTTTAACAGGGGTGTGTAGACTTTTTATATCCACTGTACCTCAGCCTAAACATCAGCGCCACAGGTAACTTCCACAAAGCTGTGAACGATCTGAGAGACAAGGCAAGAAGGGCATAAAATTTGACATACCAATTAGGATCTGGCTAAAAATACTTGAATCAGTTATAGAACCCATTGCCCTTTATTGTTGTGAGGTCTGGGGTCCGCTCACCAACCAAGAATTCACAAAATGGGACTAATACCAAATTGAGACTCTACATGCAGAATTCTGCAAAAATATCCTCTGTGTACAACGAAAACCACCAAATAATGCATGCAGAGCAGAATTAGGCCAATACCCTTTAATTATCAAAATCCAGAAAATATCCATAAAATTCTATAACCACTTAAAAGGAAGCAATTCCCAAACCTTCCATAACAAAGCCATCACCTACAGAGAGATGAACTTGGAGAAGAGTCCCCTAAGCAAGCTGGTCCTGGGGCTCTGTTCACAAACACAAACAGACCCCACAGAGCCCCAGGACAACAACAACAACACAATTAGACCCAACCAAATCATGAGAAAACAAAAAGAGAATTACTTGACACATTGGAAATAATTAATTAAAAAACAGAGCAAACTAGAATGCTATTTCGCCCCTAAACAGACAGTACACAGTGGCAGAATATCTGACCACTGTGACTGACCCAAACTTAAGGAAAGCTTTGACTTTGTACAGACTCAGTGAGCATAGCCTTGCTATTGAGAAAGGATGCCGTAGGCAGACCTGGCTCTCAAGAGAAGACAGGCTATGTGCACACTGCCCACAAAATGAGGTGGAAACTGAGCTGCACTTCCTAACCTCCTGCCAAATGTATGAACATATTAGACACATATTTAGAATTAGAAAACAAACCAAATTTTGATAAACTCCCTTATCTACTGGATGAAATACCACAGTGTGCCATCACAGCAGCAAGATTTGTGACCTGTTGCCACAAGAAAAGGGCAACCAGTGAAGAACAAACACCATTGTAAATACAACCCATATTTATGTTTATTTATTTTCCCATTTGTACTTTAACTATTTGCACATTGTTACAACACTGTATATATACATAATATGACATTTGAAATGTCTTTATTCTTTTGGAACTTCTGAGTGTAATGCTTACTGTTAATTTCTATTGTTAATTTCACTTTTGTTTACTATCTACTTCACTTGCTTTGGCAATGTTAACCTATGTTTCCCATGCCAATAAAGCCCTTCAATTTTAATTTCTTTATGTTTTATTTTACCTTTATTTAACTAGGCAAGTCAGTTAAGAACAAATTCTTATTTACAATGACGGCCTACACCGGCCAAACCCGGATGACGCTGGGCCAATTGTGCGCCGCCCTATGGGACTCCCAATCACGGCCGGTTGTGATACAGCCTGGAATCGAACCAGGGGGTCTGTAGTGACGCCTCAAGCACTGAGATGCAGTGCCTTATACCGCTGCATTGAGAGAGAGAGAGAGAGAGAAAGACAAGGAATCACAAGTGTTTCTACTGTTATTATCACCTCAGACACCATCTAGTGAAACTCCTGTGACACTGTGTGACTAGCATACCATGTGCTCACTGTTGTGGGAAAACACAATTTAGTGAACAAATGTGAATGATGATGAAGGCCAGAGATGATGGTGCGTCTAGTGACTTGCTGAAGCCAGCCTGGCATGTCGATTCAATTTGACATTGTCCGGATGGATGGCTGTATATTTGCATCTCACAGGAGTGTCACACCTTCGCTGTGGCAATTTTCAGGAAGAGATGTTCTCACGGAAGTCCTGGGGTCACTGACACAAGGAGAGGTGTGATGACTGATGAAACTTGAATTGACTAAATTAATGTTACTGTGTGAATTAAATTGTCATGTTTGGATTGTTTCAAGAGTTCATAAAGAGCTATGAATTTTGATATGTTTCATTGTACTGTAAGTGCTATGGATTTATTATTACAGAGAAACGGTGTTATTCTGTTCGTCAAACAGCGGATAGTTCAAAGAGGAGCGACACAGGGAGTGCTCTTATCAGATAGTGTTGAGGTGTGGTGATTAGATTAAAGAATGCATGTGAAGTTTTATGCCTTTTGTTTTAAAGTTTTGGGCCATGCAAAGTGAGGTTAATTAGACGGTGGAAGATACTGGGATTTGGTGCTCTTGGAAGAATAAAAGCTGGGTTTAAACATTTACATTTACATTTTTGTCATTTAGCAGACGCTCTTATCCAGAGCGACTTACAGTTAGTGCATACATTTGTATTTATTTTTTCATACTAAACGTTGATCATGGAGTCATTGGTAAACCAATCTTCTGATGTACGTGTGTATGTCATAGTGGTGAATTTTCCATGCTGTTAACACAGGATATATATATATATTTTGTTTTATCGGGAAGATTTTTCGTGTGTACCATTTGTTAATTGTATTCTTATTGCATAACTGTAATACATCTGATTACTTTCAAATAGATACGAACCGTAGTCCTCACATTTCTGAGTAATATTCCTTGAATTATTATTTGGTGAAATGTCTAATGTTTTTCCCAATAGCATATATGCTCGGTCTCTAACTGTGCATCTCTGAGCTAAGGTTAACTCAATCATTTAATGCTAGGACATCAATTGCAAGATATTAGCTCTTTGTTCCTTAGCCTCTTAATAATTGCGGTAAACCTATACACATGCATCTTATAGTATTTTGAGTGGTGATGCAAGGCTCGCAACCTTGGCTACCATTGGATACGATTATGGGCCTATAGCCTTCAGATAATCATGGAGTCAGATAGTACATCATATTAGGGTCATAGACCCTCTACAGTAATTCTCTGTATTCCTCAGACGAAGTGAATGTTCACTATTCTACATGTGTGTGTGTCCTTTTTGTTCCTTTGAAAGCAGAGGCTGTTATCCTTTGAATGTGGCATGAAAAAGAGAAGAGAATACTTTTCAGTACCAGTAGACTCACGCTAGGCCCACACTGAGATGTTGGAGTGTTTGGCTCTAGACAGAGTCATGCACCGTATGCAGCCTGTGAGACAGGCTCCACAGGGGCTCCACAGGGGCTCCCCCCTCTCACTCCTAATATTCTCCCTCTACCCCGATCTCTCTATGGCTGTCTTCTCTGTTGCATCACCTTTCTATGAACCCATGTTCTGTCTCGAATACTCCATCTAACATCTCACTAGAGCATGAACATGTACTGGGAGTCACCCTGGAGCAATAGGCTGAATTCTGAAGGTTAGTTCTGCTTCTCGCCTCTTGGTTTTTAAAGGCTAGGATCGCAGGAGAGTCAACTGATTCAAATAAAATAAAATACAATTTTATTTGCCACATGCGCCGAATACAACAGCTGTAGACATTACCGTGAAATGCTTATTTACAGCCCTTAACCAACAATATATTTATTTTTTAATAAAAAAGTAAAATAAAACAACAACAACAACAAAAAAGTGTTGAGAAAAAAAGAGCAGAAGTAAAATAAAATAACAGTAGGGAGGCTATATACAGGGGTGTACCGGTGCAGAGTCAATGTGCAGGGGCACCGGCTAGTTGAGGTAGTTGAAGTAATATGTACATGTGGGTAGAGTTAAAGTGACTATGCATAAATAATTAACAGAGTAGCAGCAGCGTAAAAAGATGGGGGGGAGTGGGGGAGGGGGGGGGGGGGAGCAGTGCAAATAGTCCGGGTATCCATGATTAGCTGTTCAGGAGTCTTATGGCTTGGAGGTAGAAGCTGTTGAGAAGCCTTTTGGACCTACACTTGGCGCTCCGGTACCGCTTGCCATGCGGTAGCAGAGAGAACAGTCTATGACTAGGGTGGCTGGAGTCTTTGACAATTTTGAGGGCCTTCCTCTGACACTGCCTGGTATAGAGGTCATGGATGGCAGGAAGCTTGGCCCCAGTGATGTACTGGGCCATACACACTACCCTCTGTAGTGCCTTGCGGTCGGAGGCTGAGCAGTTGCCATACCAGGCGGTGATGCAACCAGTCAGGATGCTCTCGATGGTGCAGCTGTAGAACTTTTTGAGGATCTGAGGACCCATGCCAAATCTTTTCAGTCTCCTGAGGGTGAATAGGCTTTGTCGTGCCCTCTTCACGACAGTCTTGGTGTGTTTAGACCATGATAGTTTGTTGGTGATGTGGACACCAAGGAACTTGAAGCTCTCAACCTGTTCCACTACAGCCCCGTCGATGAGAATGGGGGCGTGCTCAGTCCTCTTTTTTTTCCTGTAGTCCACAATCATCTCCTTTGTCTTGGTCACGTTGAGGGAGAGGTTGTTATCCTGGCACCACATGGCCAGGTCTCTGACCTCCTCCCTATAGGCTGTCTCATCGTTGTCGGTGATCAGGCCTACCACTGTTGTGTCGTCGGCAAACTTAATGATGTGTTGGAGTCGTGCCTGGCCATGCAGTCATGGGAGGGAACAGGGAGTACAGGAGGGGACTGAGCAAGCACCCCTGAGGGGCCCCTGTGTTGAGGATCAGCGTGGCAGATGTGTTGTTACCTACCCTTACCACCTGGGGGCGGCCCGTCAGGAAGTCCAGGTTCCAGTTGCAGAGGGAGGTGTTTAGTCCCAGGATCCTTAGCTTAGTGATGAGCTTTGAGGGCACTATGGTGTTGAACGCTGAGCTGTAGTCAATGAATAGCATTCTCACATAGGTGTTCCTCTTGTCAAGGTGGGAAAGGGCAGTGTGGAGTGCAATAGAGATTGCATCATCTGTGGATCTGTTGGGGCGGTATGCAAATTGGAGTGAGTCTAGGGTTTCTGGGATAATGGTGTTGATGTGAGCCATAACCAGCCTTTTAAAGCACTTCATGGCTACAGACGTCAGTGCTACGGGTCGGTAGTCATTTAGGCAGGTTATCTTAGTGTCCTTGGGCACGGGGACTATGGTGGTCTGCTTGAAACATGTTGGTATTACAGACTCAGTCAGGGACATGTTGAAAATGTCAGTGAAGACACTTGCCAGTTGGTCAGCGCATGCTCGGAGTACACGTCCTGGTAATCCGTCTGGCCCTGCGGCCTTGTGAATGTTGACCTGCTTAAAAGTCTTACTCACATCGGCTACAGAGAGCGTGATCACATAGTCATCTGGAACAGCTGGTGCTCTCATGCATGCTTCAGTGTTGCTTGCCTCGAAGCGAGCATAGAAGTGTGTTTAGCTCGTCTGGTAGGCTTGTGTCACTGGGCAGCTCACGGCTGTGCTTCCCTTTGTAATCTGTAATAGTTTTCAAGCCCTGCCAGTCAGTCAGCCACCTAGCCAGTCACCCAGCCAGTCAGCCACTTAGTCAGCCAGCCACCCAGCCAGTCAGCCAGTCAGCCAGCCAGTCATCCAGTCAGCTAGCCACCCAGCCAGTCAGCCTGTAAGCCTGTAAGCCAGTCAGCCAGTCAGCCAGCCAGCCAGCAGCAGTCTAGATCTGATTAAAAGGTCATCTTCTGCCTGTAGGTCCCACTGGGAAGCACACTGGCTGGCTGGCTGGCTGGCTGGCTGGCTGGCTGATTGGCTGACTGGCTGACTGGCTTACAGGATTACAGGCTGACTGGCTGGGTGGCTGGCTGGGTGGCTGACTAGCTGACTGGATGACTGGCTGGCTGACTGGCTGGCTGGCTGGGTGACTGGCTGACTGGCTGGGTGGCTGGCTAGGTGGCTGACTGGCTGGCTGGCTGGCTGGCTGACTGGCTGGGTGGGTGGCTGGTTGACTAGGTGGCTGACTGACTCGCTGACTGACTGGCTGGCTGACTAGGTGGCTGACTGACTGGCTGGGTGGGTGGCTGACTAGGTGGCTGACTGACTGGCTGACTGACTGATTAACTGGCTGGGTGAATGGCTGACTAGGTGATTGACTGACTGGCTGACTGGCTGACTGACTGACTGACTGGCTGACCCACAGGAAATGATGTAATAGCTCAGAGTGATGGATGGTTAGTGAGGCTTTCTGGGACCAGCTGGGGTTGCTGGCGTGGCAGGTGGTGTGTGTGTGTATGCGTGCATAAGTCTGTGCGTGAGGGTGGGCGTGGTGTGTTAGCGTGGCAGGTTTGAATGAACGCCTCTCCTGAGACAGGCTGTTAATGCGTTCTGAGCTGTGTGTTTGGGAAGGTCTCCAGAATGTTCTGGGGCCAGTTTAGGGTGAGTGCTCTGTAATAGCTTGGCCTGGTGAGTCATAAACACCAAGCACATTCTTACAAAACACCACTTTTATACAGACCTTAAAATACTGCTCACTTACAAACCACTTTATCTAGACCACAAACCAGAAAACACATCATTACAAGACTTGCAATGTTTGACAAAGGAAGTTCAAACCCGATCTTATGGTAGGTTATAGACCGTAAATGAACTCATTTTAAACATTGACATTAATAACCAGGTCAGCATATAACTCTGTAACAACCATGAAGTTTCAAGTTATGACCATAGAGTTTACGACAGAGAGCAGACTTCAGCTCAGGGCATCATAAGAAGACCAGGGCCCATATTCACAAAACACTTTACGCAAAAACTTAAGAAGCTTCTTAAGGAAAAAATAAGAAGTTCATAAGATAGTTCATAAGTGCAATTCCTCAACAATATCTTAAGATTGAATGATTTTCTTACGAACTTCTCAAATATCTTCTTACAAATCTTCTTAAGATGTTTGCTGCTAGGCAACCGTTTTAGCTAGCTATCTAGCTAGCAATGGCAATCATGTTAGCATATTTCTTACTGAGATTACTGTTCTAAAACATGTTCTTGGGTTTAAAATAATCAATACTGAAACTTTCAGATTAAGTTTGTGAGTGAATTATACATGTTCAATTGCTTTCATGAGCTTTTTCTCTCACCGCCCTGAGTTTAAGACAAGGGTTTAGCTATCTTGGAATTAAGAACATTTCCAATAACTTTATTTTCAAGAATCTAATTTTGTCGTAACTTTTTGAGGAATAGTAATTTTGCTTAATTTTCTTCTTAAATCACTAGATTAGGAAAAAATATCAGGTTTTGTGAATCTGGGCCCTGGACAGTAGATCTCACAGTCATAGTCAGTCAGTCATAGTCAGTAAGTCAGTCAGTCAGTCAGTCAGTCAGTCATAGTCAGTCAGTCATAGTCAGTCAGTCAGTCAGTCATAGTCAGTCAGTCAGTCATAGTCAGTCAGTCAGTCAGTCAGTCAGTCAGTCAGTCAGTCATAGTCAGTCAGTCAGTCAGTCAGTCAGTCATAGTCAGTCAGTCAGTCAGTCAGTCATAGTCAGTCAGTCAGTCATAGTCAGTCAGTCAGTCAGTCAGTCAGTCAGTCAGTCAGTCAGTCAGTCAGTCATAGTCAGTCAGTCAGTCAGTCAGTCAGTCATAGTCAGTAAGTCAGTCAGTCATAGTCAGTCAGTCAGTCAGTCAGTCAGTCAGTCAGTCAGTCAGTCATAGTCAGTAAGTCAGTCAGTCATAGTCAGTCAGTCAGTCAGTCAGTCAGTCATAGTCAGTAAGTCAGTCAGTCATAGTCAGTCAGTCAGTCAGTCAGTCAGTCAGTCAGTCAGTCATAGTCAGTAAGTCAGTCAGTCATAGTCAGTCAGTCAGTCAGTCAGTCAGTCAGTCAGTCAGTCAGTCAGTCAGTCATAGTCAGTCAGTCAGTCAGTCAGTCAGTCATAGTCAGTCAGTCAGTCAGTCATAGTCAGTCAGTCAGTCAGTCATAGTCAGTCAGTCAGTCAGTCAGTCAGTCAGTCAGTCATAGTCAGTCAGTCAGTCATAGTCAGTCAGTCAGTCAGTCAGTCATAGTCAGTCAGTCAGTCATAGTCAGTCAGTCAGTCAGTCAGTCAGTCAGTCAGTCAGTCAGTCAGTCAGTCAGTCAGTCATAGTCAGTCAGTCAGTCCCATCAGATCAGTAAGACTACAGGTGCAGGATAAGACAGAGCTGTACTACTATGGCTGACCCTGTAAAACAACACATTTCACTGCACATATCTGGTGTATGTGACAATAAAACATATTTAATCTTTAACACATGAAGACTTGCCTTTGAAGGGGTTCAGACAGTTTATCTTATTTTATGTAATCTACCAGACGGACTAAAAGCAGGATGAGATGATTTCCACAGAGATAAAAGGAGCATCTCTTCACAAGGTCCTTTGCTGTTGTTCTGGGATTGATTTGCACTTTTCGCACCAAAGTACGTTCATCTCTAGGACACAGAACGCGTCTCCTTCCTGAGCGGTATGACGGCTGCGTGGTCCCATGGTGTTTATACTTGCATACTATTGTTTGTACAGATGAACGTGGTACCTTTAGGCGTTTGGAAATTGCTCCCAAGGATGAACCAGACTTGTGGAGGTCTACAATGTATTTTCTGAGGTCTTGGCTGATTTCTTTTTATTTTCCCATGATGTCAAGCAAAGAGGCACTGCGTTTGAAGGTAGGCCTTGAAATACATCCACAGGTACACCTCCAATTGACTCAAATGATGTCAATTAGCCTATCAAAAGCTTCTAAAGCCATGACATCCTTTTCTGGAATTTTCCAAGCTCTTTAAAGGCACAGTCAACTTAGGTATGTAAACTTCTGACCGACTGGAATTGTGATACAGTGAATTATAAGTTAAATAATCTGTATGTAAACAATTGTTGGAAAAATTACTTGTATCATGCACAAAGTAGATGTCCTAACCGACTTGCCAAAACTATAGTTTGTTAACAAGAAATTTGTGGAGTGGTTGAAAAAACGAGTTTTAATGACTCCAACCTAAGTGTATGTAAACTTCTGACTTCAACTGTAGCTTTAGCTGAGTTGTAGAAATTGTGCATGTCGTTTTTGTCGGCATCAATTTGGATTTCCTTTTATTTTATTTATTTCACCTTTATTTAACCAGGTAGGCCAGTTGAGAACAAGTTCTCATTTACAACTGCGACTTGGCAAAGATATAGCAAAGCAGTGCGATAAAAACAACAACACAGAGTTACATATGGGGTAAACAAAACATAAAGTCAAAAATACAACAGAAAATATATACACAGTGTGTGCAAATGTAGTAAGTTATGGAGGTAAGGCAATAAATAGCCCATAGTGCAAAATAGTTACAATTTCGTATTAACACTGGAATGATAGATGTGAAAAAGATGATGTGCAAATAGAGATACTGCGGTGCAAATTAGCGAAATAAATAACAATATGGGGATGAGGTAGTTGGGTGGGCTAATTTCAGAATGGCTGTGTACAGGTGCAGTGATCGGTAAGCTGCTCTGACAACTGATGCTTAAAGTTAGTGAGGGAGATAAGAGTCTCCAGCTTCAGAGATTTTTGCAGTTCGTTCCAGTCATTGGCTGCAGAGAACTGGAAGGAATGGCGGCCAAAGGAGGTGTTGGCTTTGGGGATGACCAGTGACATATACCTGCTGGAGCGCAGACTACGGGTGGGGGTTGCTATGGTGACCAGTGAGCTAAGATAAGGAGGGGATTTGCCTAGCAGTGAATTATAGATGAACTGGAGCCAGTGGGTTTGGTGACGAATATGTAGTGAGGGCCAGCCAACAAGAACGTACAGGTCACAATGGTGAGTAGTGTATGGGGCTTTGGTGACAAAACGGATGGCACTGTGATAGTCTATTTCCAATTTTCTGAGTAGAATGTTGGAGGCTATTTTGTAAATGACATCGCCGAAGTCAAGGATCGGTAGTTGCAATGGAGTTGCAATGATCATGAGAATGGTGAGGAATCAGCCCAGAACTACATGGGCGGATCTTGTCAATGATCTCAAGGCAGCTGGGACCATAGTCACCAAGGAAACAATTGGTAACACACTACGCAGTGAAGGACTGAAATCCTGCAGCGCCCGCAAGGTCCCCCTGCTCAAGAAAGCACATATCCATGCCCTTCTGAAGTTTGCCAATGAACATCTGAATGATGCAGAGGAGAACTGGGTGAAAGTGTTGTGGTCAGATGAGACCAAAATCGAGCTCTTTGGCATCAACTCAACTCGCCGTGTTTGGAGGAGGAGGAATGCTGCCTATGACCCCAAGAACACCATCCCCACCGTGAAACATGGAGGTGGAAACATTATGCTTTGGGGGGTTTGTTCTGCTAAGGGGACAGGACAACTTCACCGCATCAAAGGGACGATGGACGGGGCCATGTACCGTCAAATCTTGGGTGAGAACCTCCTTCCCTCAGCCAGGGCATTGAAAATGGGTCGTGGATGGGTATTCCAGCATGACAATAACCCAAAGGCAACAAAGGAGTGGCTCAAGAAGAAGCACATTAAGGTCCTGGAGTGGCCTAGCCAGTCTCCAGACCTTAATCCCATAGAAAATCTGTGGAGGGAGCTGAAGGTTCGAGTTGCCAAACGTCAGCCTCGAAACCTTAATGACTTGGAGAAGATCTGCAAAGAGGAGTGGGACAAACCTGGTGGCCAACTACAAGAAACATCTGACCTCTGTGATTGCCAACAAGGGTTTTGCCACCAAGTACTAAATCATGTTTTGCAGAGGGGTCAAATACTTATTTCCCTCATTAAAATGCAAATCAATTTATAACATTTTTGACATGCGTTTTTCTGGATTTTTTTGTTGTTATTCTGTCTCTCACTGTTCAAATAAACCTACCATTAAAATTATAGACTGATCATGTCTTTGTCAAGGGGCAAACGTACAAAATCAGCAGGGGATCAAATACTTTTTTCCCTCACTGTATCCCAGTTTAGGTCACCAAGCTGAGGGGGTTCTGTAGCAAGCGGCAACAGTGAGAGACTTATTTCTGGAAAGGTGGATTTTTAGAAGTAGAAGCTCAAACTGTTATGCACAGACCTGGATAGTATGATAGAGCTCTGCAGGCTATCTCTACAGTAGATTGCAACCCCACCCCCTTTGGCAGTTCTATCTAGACAGAAAATGTTGTAGTTGGGGATGGACATTTCTGAATTTTTGGTGGCCTTTTTAAAATAAATAATAAAATAATAAAATACTGGCTATTTACACGAGGACACAACAGAAAACACGACCGCACTGCTACGCCATCTTGGATCTTCATCTTCCTGTGCCTTATTCGTCCACCATTCGTTCTGCAGAGCACACAAGGCTGTGTGTAAACACACACACACACACATACACACACACAGCTGGGGTTTTAGTGGATTAATTGCTAAAAGTTGAAGCAGAGCAACACCAGACAGTCAATCTCTTGTAATGTCTTGGGTTCACTGAAGTACCCCATTTCTGAGTAACACCTTTCATAGAACTGCTTTGTAAGACCAGTTCTATTTTCCCCAGCAGTGAGTGCATTTGTGAAATTATTGACTTTTGTATAGACCTCTTGTGGTCTTCCCTGCCCTAGAAAAAAACCCGGAAATTATTTGTCACTAAGGGCAATTACACAATTAAGTGCAAAAAAGGCGATTATAAAACTTTCATGCAGCTGTTTTCCCTACAGCAGATAAAAGTACTGTAAGAACACTTTGAACAATGGTTGAGGGACATAGTTTCCCCTTTGAAATACAAAACAAGTTGAAAAACGAGTTTTAATGACTCCAACCTAAGTGTACGTAAACTTACGACTTCAACTGTATATGATGCTGTTGATAACACACTCCATCCCCATAAACTGCCCAGTGAAAACATGATTGGCTAAGAACTGAATACATTTTTGCCAATCATTTCACAGCTCATTAATGTCCATAATACCTCATTATCCGATAGGGTTGTTTGGATAAATGTACAGATAGCACAGATCACACTTCTAGAGCGCTTGGAATGCCACACACGTTTTCTCTCTCCCTCATTCTTTTATTGCCTATTTCTCTCTATCATTTTGTCACTCATTTACTTCTCCTCGTTCACTCTCTCTTCACCAACTTCTCTCTCTCCCTTTCTTTCTTTCTCTCTCCCCCTCTCCCTCTCTCCCCCTCCTTCTCTCTCTCTCTCTCTCTCTCTCTCTCTCTCTCTCTCTCTCTCTCTCTCTCTCTCTCTCTCTCTCTCTTTCCCTTTTTCTGCAGTGCTGGGATGTGATAAACTATTAACTCCATCCCGTCTGCCCCCGAAAGGTCAAAGACAAGGGCGCCGCTGCTGAGGTGCATCTCAACATCCCCCACTGTCTACTACTACCCTGGAGGAAGACTAGGAGCAGGCCATGACACACACACACACAGATGCGCTGGCACACTCACACAAACACACACACACACACGCTGACACACACACACACACACATACACTGAATCACATTCATACAGAGAGACACACTCACAAACAACCCTTTCTCACATACAGCATGCATTCACAGCATCATACTCACACATACATACACACTCACACATTTACAAACACACATAAACACACACACACCAACAACACAAACATGTCCATTCATAGCCACATGCACCTACACTACACTCCACACGCATCGGTGCGACTGCCAAGCCCTTATTGCATATTTCCATTCAGGATTCACCCCAGTGTTTTACACAAAAATCTCAGACTTTTCTGTTTCCATCTACACGGGCCAGCACCCATGTCTCTCTGGGCCATGGCTCCGGCGGACCTGCTCTCACTTGGGGTCAAAGCCAGGCCACTGGTACTTTTCAGCTTTCATTTACATAACAATGGCTAGCTGTGGACTTCAACACCTTCTCACAATGCAACTGTTTTGATTATGTAGAGGTTGTTGACACTGAGTCCTCACTGTCAGCCCTAGCTATGTAAACACAATTTCCCTAATATAACATAAGGGTGTATACACTAGTGTAACACTGATCGAAAAGTGTAACACACAGTTGAAAAGCAGCATTAGTGTTCTGACAGTCATAAACCTGTTTTCTACATCTCAGACGCATTGCCACAGAACTAGAGGAAACCAGACTGTGAAGTCCCTAAAAATTCAGACATGAACTGTGATCCTTTTCCGTATCATGTTTCTGTATGGATCTTCAACCAGTAGCTTTCTCTGCATCTGTTACAAAACCTCTCACACTGTACAGTATATTGTAAAAGAAAGAAGAAACGAAAGGGGAATAGACCATGGTTTAAATGGTATAACATGGCTTCATTATTTAGTAACACACCCAGACTTCACAGTTTCAGCTCTCACAGAAGAACAGCAACAAAAGCAGCAGATATTTTCCCCGTTCATGAAATCCACCAACACTTCAATACACTGTAACGCCACCGTGGGCTACGTAACATTCGAGTAAAGAGAGACAAGACCCGCATCTCGATGTCTAAACGTTATCACAGTCGAGGTGCTTGTACTCTACTGTCAGCTTCAATGAGAACACTCTACACTCCACCTGTCACTATATTGTGTGTCCCAAATGGAACCCTATTCCCTACATTGTGCATGACTTTTGACCAGGGCCCATAGTTAAAAGTAGTGCACTATGTAGAGAATAGGGTGCCATTTGGGATGCAGCACTCTCACTGTATGAGTGGGTTAGTGAGATTATGATCACAGAGGACAGGCGAGGGCAGAGAGCCTGTAGGGAAGAAAGACATAGTCAAAACACTACTACAACTCTTCCTCTTAGATCCACACAAGGGCTTAGGGGCTAAGGGCTAGGAGTTGATTTGGGATTCAGGGTAAGTGTGCTAGTCCGGTCACAGAGGACAGTTGAGGGCAGAGCCTGCAGAGCCCTGCAGCTGAAACACATGACTCCTACTCCTGTTCTCTCCAAGCAGCACTGTGACACGTTGGCTGCTTCCGAAATGGCACCCTATTCCCTATAAAGTGCACTAAATTTGACCAGGGCCCACATAGGGGATAGGGAATAGGGGATAAGGAAAAGGGTGCAATTTCAGACACAGCCATTGTCTAATGAGTTGAGCTCCTGTTCTCCAGGCAGCACTGTGACAGTTTCCTTTCTCCATTATTCAATGACCTAATGCTCTCAGAAGGACAATGGTGTATCCATGATTTGCTATTACTGAGGCAGAAAAACCTACATTATGCATCGTGGAAGGCACTGAGGGTCTACTGAGATTTGTCAAGTTACTAGGAGGACTGTGCCACAGCGCAAATATGTGCAGTATGTAAAGTGACAATTTACTGCCCTGTTGACAGATTGGCTGTGTACTTAGATATTCTTCACAGAACTACATTAAAAGTAACTTCAGGCCTATGTACATTTGATCTTCCAGCAGTGTGCATTTTCCAATACGTTTGGTCAGATTTTGGTCACATACAATTTGGTGAGGAAAATGTTTTTAATATATTTTGAGTAATCAATGACATATTTGTGGGTTAAATTACAAATGGGTGTGTTGATGGGGTCTTCATACTGACTGTATGCCTACATAACCCAGCATACATACTCATACTCTTTATTTGTACTGAAGCGTCTAATAATATCTGTGCTTGAATGAGGAGCCCTGGAATCATCTCCCTTTCATCTCATTCAAATCTCATACCTCATCTGCATAACTGCCACGTAATCCATGTAACCGTGACAATCTACTGTTATTGTTCTTGACATGACTGGCACCCGTGACCAGTGAGAAGATCATAGTATTAGGAATTAGAATGTAATTTAATAAGATCTCTATGGAGAAGATACACTGCTGAAATCCACCCTGGTGATTTGCTCATGGCTCTGAGGTTGTTGCTTGGAGATGTCACTAGGCATTAAAGCACTGTTCCTCATTGTAGTGTAGTCCCCAAGCAGGTATATAAAAGAACCACTGTCTTTTTCATTGAGAATTGTACTAAATCATAATAATAATACAAATCATTTGGTGGGTGCTTATATTTGTCCTATTTCACACATGTACAAGTGTGTATTATACTGTGATCATACAAAATAAATTGTCCCTACTGTGTCGACCCACCATACATACGTCCACCATATCCAACACAGGCATCTATTCTGTAGACTTGGAGAATCTCCAATCCATTGATTTACCTAACTAAATCCCCTTTGAAACTCAGCCATGTTTTACACTTTGACATGAAACAAATGGAACCACTGGCTTCTCAAATGGGCCTTTTGGGTGAAAATATAGACTAAGACTTTAGCCCCGAAGCCCCCGAGCAGCCACTAACGCACATTACTGTACTTATGTTTCAAAGCCGCAATAATTCAGCTTCTTGTAGAGTCATTTGTAGAGGTGGAGACCTAAAACACTGACATCGTAACTGAACAAGGGAGAGCAAGCATTGTGGCCACATTATATATATACAGTATATAATGTCCTTAAGGAGCAGTGAAGTAGAAATCTATATGTACATTCCTGAAAGCTTCCCGTCCTTAAGGAGTCTTTGATCCCGTACTGTTGAGTATGGATCAGACTTTAATTTTAGTCTGAGTTTATCTCAGGACAGCCCAGAGGCCCTTGTGTCTGAAAGAGATGACGGCTAAGTGGCTAAGTGGGCTAAGTGGATCCCAATGTGTCCAATGGATGGACTGCAGAGCACTACAAGGTGACATCACAGAGTCAAATACACGAACAGGGAGGTCAGAGATGGAGAACTGCCTGAGTTCTAAACAGTTTCCTTTTACCACAACTAAAGAGTAAACTTAGAAGGAAGAGTGTTACATTACAAACTTCAGAAGTTTGCTCATTGACTACAAAAGCCCTTAACTGTTTTAGGACTAATCATTCAGGTATACAAACGGCCTCTGTCTGCCTCTGTCTAACTGTTTTAGGACTAATCATTCAGGTAAACAAACGGCCTCTGTCTGTCTGCCTGCCTGCCTGTCTGTCTACCTGATGTCTGTCAGTCAGTGTTAACCTGGAGCAGCCAGTCAACCCAGAGCTATAGTATACTCACACTGTCTGGGAAGCACTTAATCATGGTAGCCAACCATTTTATGAGCCTCTTGAGTCAATCCAGCTAACTATGTTTGTCAGAATAATAGTATGCAGAACTCACTGGTGGCTGTTACTATAAATCCAATAGTCAACAAAGATATTCACAGAAAAAAATTATTAAGTACCATTTATGGGCTAAAGCTTCGAATTTCTAAAAGGTCAGACACACCCGTAGGATTGTCAAATGTTTGCCTGCCCACAGTACTTAGCACCTCTGAATAGTGTCGGCAGTCAGTCTCTTTTGTGTTCACACAGCAAAGACATTGGAAGTCGTCAGCCTTGTTAAAATACTCCAAACCAGAAGGTGGCAGTGGTGTTGTTTGGCAATGCATATCCGTGCGTATTACTTATGGTCTAGAGTCCATGCTATCTATTTACCACAGTGCGGTCGTGTATTCTGTAGTGTGCTCGTGT